AATGTTTCTCCATCCCTCTCTGGATTCCCTTTTGTGTTCTCTTAGCGCCCTCATGTGTCCTTTGTCTGCATCTCTGTTGTGTGTCTTAAGTTATAGCCACAGCCTCTTGTTCCCCAGTTCATAGTTTGTGTGTCTCAGTATGTGTATGTGTTTGTGTGAGTTCTTCCCTTAGTCTTTAGGTTTAGTTTTGTGTTTTACATAGTGTTAGGTTTATCTGCCCTCCACTGGTTCTCTTCCCCATCCAGATAATTGTTGTCACCTGCCTTCCCTCCAGCCTCACTCCACACACCTGCTTCCTGTTTCCCTATTTGCTCCTCCCTGTCTATATAAGCCCTCCTTGTCTCATTGTTCTTGTCGGTCCATTGTTGTTTGTCAGCGTTATTAGTCCCGTCAGTCTGCTCGTTCCTCTGGTGTTTTTTGACTCCCTGGATTCTTGGATTTTGGCTCCCTCCCTGTTCTTGGATTTATTCTTTATTTTGGACACATCCTACAATAAAAGGATTTTCTTTATTTCAACTCCTGCCTCGTGTCATCCTGGGTTTTGCAATTTGGGTCCTACTCTCCTAAACGTGACAGAATGGACCGACCAACCAGGACCCAGCGGCCACGGATGTCCACCTTCCACGGCGACCCGGACTCCTGTAAGACTTTTCTTCTGGACTTTGTTATGCTTCATGACACGGACACGCCAGACATTGATCTGGTAATTAACCTGGTGTTCCTTCTAAGGGGGAGAGCTCTGCAATGGGCCAGCCTATATTTTGATCAGAATCCAATTCAGGAGTTGGTGTTTTGGGACTTCGCAGAGGATCTGCTGGACGCCTGCAGCAGCCCACAGTTTCCCTCCTTCTCTGTGGATTATAATCCATCAGCAAGCGCCATATTAAGAGCTGCCTTCTCAGCATCTAAAAAGCACCACGCATCCACATCTCCGCCTGGTTCTGACAGCACCACCACTTCCTCTACGGTGGGCTGCCACCACACTTCTCCAACTGTTCCTGCCGTCTCCATAACTCAACCTCCTATGGTCTGTGTCACCACACCTCCACCAGTTCCAGAGAGCTCTACCACACCCTCACCTGGTCCCGACAGCACCACCACTTCCTCTCTGGTGGGCTGTATCTCATCCTCAGTGCCTGCCAGCGTCCCCTCCACACCTCTGTTGACCCAAGACTCCCCACGTCGACGACGTCGCCGCAGCTGCCGTCAGAGGTCTTCTGGGGCCAAAGCAGCAACAGTTCAGGTGGCTTCTGCTCCAGCGGTGGTCCCGAGGGTCGCATCGCATCCTGCTCCGGCGGTGGTCCCGGGGGTCGCGTCACATCCTGCTCCGGCGGTGGTCCCGGGGGTCGCATCGCATCCTGCTCCGGCGGTGGTCCCGGGGGACGCATCGCATCCTGCTCCGGCGGTGGTCCCGGGGGACGCATCGCATCATGCTCCGGCGGTGGTCCCGGGGGACGCATCGCATCCTGCTCAGGCGGTGGTCCCGGGGGATGCATCGCATCCTGCTCAGGCGGTGGTCCCGGGGGACGCATCGCGTCCTGCTCCGGCGGTGGTCCCGAGGGTCGCATCGCGTCCTGCTCCAGCGGTGGTCCCGAGGTGTCGCATCGCATCCTGTCTCGGCGGTGGTCCCGAGGGTCACATCGCAACCTGTTTCGGCGGTGGTCCCGAGCGTCGCATCGCATCCTGTCTCGTCGGTGGTCCCGAGGGTCGCATCGCATCCTGTCTCGTCGGTGGTCCCGAGGGTCGCATCGCATCCTGTCTCGGCGGTGGTCCCGGAGATCGCATCGCATCCTGTCTCGGCGGTGGTCCCGGGGATCGCATCGCATCCTGTCTCGGCGGTGGTCCCGGGGGTCGCATCGCATCCTGCTCCGGCGGTGGTCCCGGGGGACGCATCGCATCCTGCTCCGGCGGTGGTCCCGGGGGACGCATCGCATCCTGCTCTGGCGGTGGTCTCGGAGGACGCATCGCATCCTGCTTTGACTGATGAGGTCCAAGAGGTCCCGGCCCAGCCTGTCCAAGAGGCTCCGGCCCAGCCAGTCCAAGAGGCTCCGGCCCAGCCTGTCCACGTGGCTCCGGCCCAGCCTGTCCACGTGGCTCCGGCCCAGCCTGTCCACGTGGCTCCGGCCCAGCCTGTCCACGAGGCCCCGGCCCAGCCCGTCCACGAGGCCCCGGCCCAGCCCGTCCACGAGCTCCCCGTCCAGCCCGTCCACGACTCCAGGCCGGAGGTCAATGCCTCCCGTCTCGGGCCCCTGCTCTGAAGTGGACGTCTCGGGCCCCTGCTCTGAAGTGGACGTCTCGGGCCCCTGCTCTGAAGTGGACGTCTCGAGCCCCTGCTCTGAAGTGGACGTCTCGAGCCCCTGCTCTGAAGTGGACGTCTCCATGTCCATGTCCCCGTCTCAAGTGTCCCAAGTCTCCCCAGTCTCAAGTGTCCCACTCTCCCCAGTCTCAAGTGTCCCACTCTCCCCAGTCTCAAGTGTCCCTGTCACAAGTCTTCCAGTCTCAAGTCTTCCAGTCTCCCAACTCTCAGGTCTCCTAGTCCCAGTCTCCCAGATGCAAGTGTTCCAGTCACAATCCCCGTCTCCAGAGATCCTTCGCCGGTCCCCTAGACTTCTCAGGTCCCGCCTCCTGGTTCCCTGTCGCCGGCCCCCACGACTCCTCTGGTCCCGTCTCCTGGTTCCCCGTCGCCGGCCCCCTAGACTCCTCTGGTCCCGTCTCCTGGTTCCCCGTCGCTGGCCCCCTAGACTCCTCTGGTCCTGTCTCCTGGTTCCCCGTCGCCGGCCCCCTAGACTTCTCCGGTCCCGTCTCCTGGTTCCCCGTCGCCGGCGCCCCAGAGTCCCCTGGTCCCTGGACCCTCCTAGCCCACCCTTGTGGGTTGTTTTTTGTCCGGGCCCTCCTCTCCCGCCCTGTTGTCTCTCGTGTCCTGTTTTGTCTTTGTCTTTTGTTTCTGTTTTTGTTTTGTTCTGGTTTTGTGCGTCTGGTATCCGCCTTTGACCGGGGGGGGGGGGGGGGGGGGGGGGGGGGTGTACTGTCATGTTCTGTGTCCCTTTGTTCCCCAGCCCTCCAGTTCCCACTCCAGGTTCTTCTTTTGTGTTTCATGGCGCCCTCATGTGTCCTTTGTCTGCGTCTTTCCCCATGTGTCTCCTAATGTTTCTCCATCCCTCTCTGGATTCCCTTTTGTGTTCTCTTAGCGCCCTCATGTGTCCTTTGTCTGCATCTCTGTTGTGTGTCTTAAGTTGTAGCCACAGCCTCTTGTTCCCCAGTTCATAGTTTGTGTGTCTCAGTATGTGTATGTGTTTGTGTGAGTTCTTCCCTTATTCTTTAGGTTTAGTTTTGTGTTTTACATAGTGTTAGGTTTATCTGCCCTCCACTGGTTCTCTTCCCCATCCAGATAATTGTTGTCACCTGCCTTCCCTCCAGCCTCACTCCACACACCTGCTTCCTGTTTCCCTATTTGCTCCTCCCTGTCTATATAAGCCCTCCTTGTCTCATTGTTCTTGTCGGTCCATTGTTGTTTGTCAGCGTTATTAGTTCTGTCAGTCTGCTCGTTCCTCTGGTGTTTTTTGACTCCCTGGATTCTTGGATTTTGGCTCCCTCCCTGTTCTTGGATTTATTCTTTATTTTGGACACATCCTACAATAAAAGGATTTTCTTTATTTCAACTCCTGCCTCGTGTCATCCTGGGTTTTGCAATTTGGGTCTTACTCTCCTAAACGTGACAACAATGAGGTGCGCTCTATAGTCCGGAAATTACGGTACAGTCTAGACGCAGCCAAAAACCCTGTCATTTAAAAATGTTTTTATTGGTGTAAAACATTTACATTCCTTTTTTATTATCTTTATTCATTTGTTTTTGATCTTTTTAAGTTTCTTTATTATTTTTATATGTTTTGTCTTTTGATCACATTTTGATTTTGTTGTTCTTCGTCAGGCTCTTTGTGATTTTTTTCTGTGAAAGGTTCTATATAATTAAACTTTATTTACTTGTTTTGCTTTCATCCAAACTGGTTTTATAGCATGCCATACAGTATACATAATAAAAGAAAACATAAACTTGTGCAGACGTTTTTAAAAGGCAGGATAGACACAATAATGCGGACATTATTTGATTTACAGAGCTTTTACCCTCAATCGTTAATATCATTGTCTTTTTTACAAAAAAAAAGCTGTGTCCATGATCCTTATGTGATTTAAAATATAAATTGTTTGGGACTACATTATTATTTTTTGTCAAAAATATTAACAGTATTTGCACATTATAAAAGATGTAAGACTTGAACTTGAAGCTGCTTCCTTCTGGTTGTATTTTTGACAAATACTCAGCTGGTTTATTGACAGTGGTGTTTCTACAGACATTTAGCTTCCAGAATGAAGACCTCCAGGTGGTTAAGAGGAATAATAATCCATGAAAGACCTCTTACACTGGCAGTGAAACATCAAGTCAACAGAATGAACTATAATGGACTACATGGACTACAAAATGAGTCAGCCCTACATGTAACCTATGTGTAATGTGCTTCAAAATAATTGCTAGAGCAATGAGGTAGAGGATGCAGAGGATTAAATGATGACATGATGTGCTGGCGATCCCTGAAGGGAACAGCCAAAAGATGAAGCAAAATGAGAAATAAACATCTATATAAGAGCTTTCAAAAATCTGATTTTGATTATTTCTCACGCTTAATAAAACATGTAAAACTAAGTAAGTGGATTACAGCCAACAGCTTTAATTTAAGCAGCCCTGAGAGTTTATTTCTTGTAATGTTTGATATGGTCAATAGAGGATGCTGTTCCCTTTTTCTCTTTTTTATCAATGAATTTGCTTTTATTTGTTTCATGAAGTCAAGGGAAAAAGTCAGGCTTAGGAAATAGAATACCTTACTAATTGTTTTCTTCCTTTCCATTATAATGTGAAGACACAAAATTACATTCAAGGAAGTTTTATTTGATTTCATAAAAAAACAGAAGGAACAACATGTGAAACAAAAAAGAGGAACAGGAAAACAGGGACAAGAACACCAGCAATAACGGATCCATTTGATAAATGATGATGGCCATGGAGAAGAGGGTTTTGGCTGTCCTGTTCTGTGTGGGTGAGTCTTTCTGCCTGCTTTATCCTAATTTACTGTGATATTCCAACATGATTGGGGTAACACTTTACAAAAAGCTACGCAAAACTGTGCTTCGTTACTAGGGAACGACTTAGGGGGTAGTGAGTAATGAAGCATGGACGATTATAGGTAGTTAACCAGTAGTTTCTGGTGAAAATGCTCATCAGTCTTTTTTCAGGGTCTAATAGGTGGTTAACCAATACTTACTGGTAAACACCCAGCAGTCTTTTTCAGAGACTAATAGATAATTATCTATGAACGCAATAAGGAACGAATCCCAATTGAATGTAGTGCCTGTGGACTCTCTTTTGTAAACTTCATGAAGGATGCAGATCATTTGCAACATCACAGTGATTTAACATCACAGTTTCATCTTGATTTCACTCGTCTGTCACTTCGTCGTCCTTCCTCAGCATCTGTCCGTCTCGAGATGATGGAAAGTGAAGCCTCCTCCCAAGTACCTACTGAGGAACTAATCTGTACCTACTAGGTACTTAAGAAGTGTGGTAATTTTCCAGAGATGGGTGGCCTAAATCCTGCAGGTTACAGTGTTACCTGGCTCAAATCAATCACCAACAAAATGTTCAATGTTTAGGGTGCTTTTTTAAATAATCAGGAAAGTACACAAAAATGAACTTTTACATTTATAAACTTTGAAATGAACATGTGAAAACTCTCTAAAACTACCTATTCATCCCCGCTTCATTACTCAGTACCCTTTAAGTTGTTCCCTAGTAACAAAGCACAAATAGATAACAACCTATTAGTCCCCGAAAAAGACTGCTGGGTGTTTACCGGTAACTACTGGTTAACTATTCTTCCCTGCTTCATTACTCATTACCCCCTAAGTCGTTCCCTAGTAACGAAGCACAATTTTGCATCCCTGACTGTAAAGTGTTACCTTGGATCTGAACTGACTTTATAACAAATCCAAACACAAGAGGACATTATAAAGACTCTGTGCTATTAGTAGTTTAAATTATAGCTCTGATGGCACCGGGGATGTCACACCCTGCCAGGAGCCCAGCTCTTTGTTTCCTGTTTTACTTTGGCATCCTCCTCGGTCCTCTGTGTCACTTCCTGTCCTTCGTTAACCAGATTCATCCCAGCTGTGTTCACTTGTATTTAACCTCTCTCTGTTCTCCTTTTCAGTTGCCAGTTCGTTGTTGTCTTCTAGCTCTTCGCTCCAGCCGTGATTAGTGTTTGCTCTCAGTATTTTTGACGTAGTTTTGGTGCATTCGTTTTTGCTCTTTTTGCCAGCTAACTTGGATTTGCTTGTTGGAATATTTACCTGCTTTTTGACCTCTGCCTTAACAAAGGATGTTTGCCTTTTACCTTCTTGTTCTCCAGCCTTGCTTTTGGGTCCAGATCCCTATACCTGACAGGGGAGCCAATTATACGCACCGTAATAACACATACCTCGTAGAACTAGATCATGTCCTGGTAAATTTCTTCTGAGACTTTTTATTTTATTTTAAAAAATTTAATTTCCTCAAGTTTCTAATTGTAAATGATGAGAAATGAAATAAAAAGAACTGATGTAGTCCAGAACAAATTTGATTATGGCCAGCATCAAATGTATACAGTTGCCTTGAGCCACATGACAGAGAATCAAACTATTGAGTTGTACTGCTAAATTTGTGTTAAAGGCTGCATATGGAACTATTTAATAAAAAGCTATGTTTAAAAAACAAATTACCTCCACGGGGCACTTAGCAGTGTGCAGAATGAAGGTACAGGTTTTTTTCTTTTAAAGTTAAATTAAAAGAAATAGGAATCAAATATTTATTTTGATGGCACAACACTGGGTTTATGTTCTTTAGAAATGTTGGCCCATGTTGATAGGATAGCATCTTGCAGTTGATGGAGATGTGTGGGATGCACATCCAGGGCACGAAGCTCCCATTCCAACACATCCCAAAGATGCTCTATCGGTCTGGTGACTGTGGAGGCCGTTGTAGTACAGTGAACTCATTGTCATGTTCAAGAAACCAATTTGAAATGATTGGAGCTTAATGACATTGTGCATTATCCTGCTGGAAGTAGCCATCAGAGGATGGGTACATGGTGGCCGTGAAGGGATGGACATGGTCAGTAACAATGCTCAGGTAGCCCGTGGCATTTAAACTATGCCAAATTGCCGCCAAGGGGCCTAAAGTGTGCCAAAAAAACATCTCCCACACCACCAGCCTGCACAGTGGTAACAAGGCATGATGATCCATGTTCTCATTCTGTTTACGCCAAATTCTGACCCTACCATTTGAATGTCTCAACAGAAATTGAGACAAAAGAAAAGAAAAGTCAAATGTTGCTTTAGAGACACTTTCAGCTGAAGAAGGTGATTAACTGTCATGTTCAGAACAAGATAAAACCTTTGCTGTTCAAAATGAAGAGTGTGTTGGCATGGTGGTGAAACCAAGCTCAAATAGCCTCTATTGCCTTTCCAAACCCTTTCACATTCAGTTTCAGTTTTAACTCATGTAAATCTTTACATTGTTTCAATCTAGCAGCGTGGTCATATGTGGCCTCCATCACTGTTAACATCCCTGACCCTGTTTACAACGTGACCAGAGGTGATGACATCACAATTCCCTGCACATTTAAAAGCACCATAACTAGCCCAAAAAAAGTCATCATCACATGGTCTGCTGGGAAGGTCAGTGTCTAAACAGCTGTATTTGCAATATTTATTCATATATGAATGCATGTATAAATCTAAATTTTTCCTTCTGCACAGACTGTCATTCTCGCCTACTATTATCCCACTAGAGAAACTGACGTCACACAAATGTACAAAGGCCGAGCATCTTTGGATCTGAACTTTGCTGCTGGGAAAGCTGACCTCCAGCTTAAATCCGTCTCAGTACAAGACAATGCAGATTATAAGTGTCGTATCCAAATTCCACATGATTACATGGGCCAACCTGTCGACACTGCACAATTGATTGTTCTGGGTAACTTTCCTTTAATATAAATCATGTTTATATTTATGTTTGTTAATACCTTGAAACAATGTGTACACAAGTATATACAGTATATTTATACGAGTTTGTGTAAAGAAAACTGAACAGGAGGACAAAAGTGAAATTGGATTTCTGAACAGAGCAGAAAGGAGTAGGACCAAATTGTCCAACACAGCTCTCTTTGAATTGATGTTCAGTGGGACAAGAAAAGTATTTGGCAGCTGCTGATTGTGCAAGTTGTCCCACTTAAAAAGATCATAGAGATCTGTAATTTTCATCATAAGAACATTTCAGCTGTGAGAGACAGAATGTAAAAAATCCAGGAAATTATATTGAATGATTTTTAAAGAATGTATTTGTATAACAGTGCAGAAAATAAGGTACTTGGTCAGTAACAAAAGTTCACCTCAATATAATGTAAACTTGGTTGGCAATAAGAGAGGTCAAAGTTTTCAATGGGTGGATGCCAGATTGTGTGAAGCACTTTGGGGGGTTTTAGAACCCTAAGATGGCACTATACAAAAAAACTATTGACCATTTAGATCTTTGATTGTAGACCGGCTCATCCCAGTCTTGTGCAGATGTACAATCCTGTCCCTGGTGTCTATGGACTGCTCTTTGGTCTTGGCCAAGGTGGAAGTTTAAGTCTCGCTGTTTGATGTTGTGGACAGGTATCTGTTATATAGATAACAAGTTCAAACAGGTGCCATTAATACAGGTAACGAGTGGAAGACAGAAGAGCTTCTTAAAGAAGATGAAACAGGTCTGTCAGGGCCAGAATTCTTGCTTGTTTATAGGAGCTAAATACTTATTTTCTGCACCATTTTACAAATACATTATTTAAAAATTATCTAATGTGACTTCCTGTTTTTTTATCAATTTCCCTCTGGGATTAATAAAGTATTTTTGAATTGAATTGAATTGAAATGAATGACGCTCACTTGTATAGCACCTTTCAGAGTCAGAGGACTCCAAAGCACGTCACACTACAGTGTATCATTCATCCATTCACACACACATTCACATCCGAGTGGTGAAGAGCTACATTGTAGGCAAAACTGCCCTGGGGCACACTGACAGAAGAGAGGCTGCTGAGCACAAGCAACACCGGTCCTTCTGACCACCGCAGGCAAGGTGGGTCAAGCTTGGTTTATGCTTGACGCATTCACTTTCCGCTTGGTGATGCGGCTCGCGGATGGAACACGCTTCACAACTTGCAGCGTTTATGGTTCGTGTGGCTTGTCTCTGCAGTGAGCCAATATTCTCCCAAACTGAACGGGACAGCATGGAGTTCTACGGCATGCATCCAACACTAAACCGTAGTAGAAGTAGAAATTACTGTTTACAACATGGCATTCCAGCATCTTTTAACAGCGTCCTCGTCTTTTCCGACAGTGCGAGCTATTTCTCTCCAAGAATTATTAACAACATGTTGATCACGGTGATCTCTGAGAGCTGAATCATACAAATGTCTGTATTTACGAACCTCTGCCATACTAGTTCTTGCCAGTCCGCCATGTATTTCCACGTTCGACCGTCCACGTGGTTAGAAAATCTCCTAGGTGCGCGGTGCGGAAAGTTTGGGCCATGCGGAGGTGCGGTGGAGGGGCATGGTTGTTAAAATGACGCAATTTTGCCACGCGGAGCCGTGCAAACCTCGCGGACATGTTAAGCATAAACCAGCCTTTAAGTGTCTTGCCCAAGGACACAACAGTAGAAGTGATCTTAACCCTCTGACTGCAGGGACAATCCGCTCTACCTCCTGAGCTACTGCTGCCTCTCACAGTTAAAGTGTACCTATGATAAAAATTGAACAATTGGTGGTTGTCAAATACTTATTTACCCCCTATATATGCAGCTTTATGTATTTGACTATCCATGTTAAAAAAATAACAACATCTAAAAAAAGAGTGGTTTACCAAACAAGATATTTTCAGGTAGGACATTTGCGTTACCTTTAACTGAAAATATTTTACCAGCAGTTCTCACCAACAGTTTGTTAAAGTAAAACGAAGAAAAAAAGAAAATCATAACCATGTTCCATACCAAAATAATTATACGAACAGTCTTGCTTAACTTCTTTTTGTTTCATAAGTGGCTCCATCTCCACCCATCTGCAAGATCCAGGGAAAGGCAGAGTATGGTGAAAATATCAACCTCACCTGTGTGTCTGAGGAGGGATTCCCTGCTCCTACTTACACGTGGCATTTCCGGCACAACATCCCTCATAGTCTGGACCCTGGGACCACTGACAGTACGTCCTGTAATGATCTTAGAAAAGTATAATGACATTTTGACATTAGTCTCTGGTGTTTTTATTGTTTACATGGAGCTGAGACTGTGTTGATCTGAGTTTACAGATTCTTTAAATATTTATGTTTTAAAAAAATATTATTTACATTTTATGCTTCATGTCTAAACAGAGAAAAAATTATTCCAAAAGTTATTATGAATGGAAAGACATAAAACAACCAATTTGTGAACCAAATGAGGCCTTTGATATGCTTAGTTTCTTAGTGTAGGAGTATTATACGTATGTATTTTGGGTGCTTTTAAAGCTCACTATACTACACTACACTTTGACCAACATGATGTGGATTTCCATGTAAATATGGAAATCCAGTCTGATTGGTCTTTGAATGTTTAACCAGAAGATTTAGAATTCCTCGTTTATTCAGGGATTGTCAGACACTTCGTATTAATTCAAGAAGAGAGTCAAGTTTATAAAAAGTTTATAAAAAGTAAGAAATGTATTTTCTAAACAATTAAAATATGACAACTAGGACACTTTATGTGATGAATGAATTAAATGGATGGAATGTGAATGTGATGTTATCAGAACCTCTCGTATCTGAAGAAACTGAGTTCTGAGTCGGAGTGAATTTGGTCTCCTAAAAACTATAGTGATGGTTTCTAAAACCACATCAGACGCAATCTGTCGAGTCTACGTACCCTCGAAGACCCCCGTGGTAGATCCAGAATGTGTTGAGATCCGGGGACCCCAGAGGTACCTAAGTCCGTAGGAGAAACCACAGTGCCGACTAGACCGGTCTCGAGATGTCTGCAGGTCATGACAGTTGTTTGCGTCTTAGGAATAACTCTTAAGGAGTTGAAGTTGGTTCAGCTTTGTTCTGAATTAACCGTTTGCAGTCAGCTGTAGCATGCAACAGGTTTTTGACAGCTTGTCAAAAGGTGCTCTGGGTTAAAGAGATTTTTGCCCTGGATGGCCGGTCCGTAGCTTTCTCAAGAACTCACAAGAACTAGAACTGACTCACGGTGAAGTGAGCTCTGTTTTCATAATCGTCATATTTTGATTTAATAGCAAATCAGAATTTGACATGTAGAAAGAGTTTTACCAACAAGCCTCAGAAAGCACACCTCGCGCCAGATACAGGAGTTGTGATTGGTGGAACAGAAAGCAATGTGTCAGGATATTAGCTTAACCTTGTCATCATCACGTGTCTGAGTGTGTGAGCTGTCAGCAGATAGTAATTCACTTGGTAAATCTAACTGAACCTAACATATTAATATTCATTTCAACCACAGTAATTTAAGCACAGATTAACCAAAACATTGTTATTATTCTTCAACCATTATTGTTCATTCAACCAAATGATTATTTACTCATCTTGTTCATCATATGATTTAATTGTTGAAAGTTCATCTGTCTCGTGCTGTGAATAAAAACCAGTCTTAGATAAGAGTGAGCCAGGAAGGACCTTGAAGCAACAGTATCTTCTTGCAGATTAAAGCACCAGTTAAGACTTATGTCTCCAAATGACCCGATACTGAAGAGGTGACCTGTAGATTGAAAAACAGACCATTTCCAGAAGCTACATTAGTCAGCTTGCTCCTTAAATGTTTTTATTTGTTATTTTGGAAATCTGATCGGCCACTCTGAGTTGCACAAGCAGACCGGAAGTGAAAATACTCTTCTATCCCTACTTCCTGCGTTAGCTGCCAATAGAAAAAAGACAAAAATAAATAAATAACACTTTGGTCATAAAAAGCCGCTCAGATCTTTGTCACACTGTAACACTAGCCTTCAGGGATTTACCTATGCTGCCTCATGATGGGGAAGGTTGAGTGAATTTAGTGTCCAGAAGAGAGCAGAGCACATCTTGGCTAGTAGAAGTTAACTATTAGCATTAGCAACTTTACCGTACAGCACAACTCCTTCAGGCTTGAGTTATTTGAGGTGGTAAAACGTCAGTGTTGCAGAGAAAACTGTTGCTTAGCTTTTAGCCAATCAGAGGCAAGGTGTCAGAAATTCAGGAAACAAGAGTCCAAATCCTGCCGTTACTGCTACTCTCCGATCCGGCTACCTTCTAAAGTCCAATTAGTCATCATCACACACTGGTGAAATCACATCTCTGCATTTGACCCACCCTCATGAGCTGCAGCTGTGAGTGCACTTGGGAACTATTTGGTGGTTTAACCCCCCAATCCAACCTCTTAAAGCTGTGTCAAATAGGGAGGCATTGGGTCCAATTTTTCAAGTCTTTGGTATAACCCGACCGGGATTTGAACACCGATCTTTCAGTCCCAGCTGCGGACACTCTACCACTAGGCCCCTGAATAGGTCTGAAACAGAAGTGCCAGACCAGGGAAACATTTATCCTAGAGACCACTGCAGATGTATTAGAAAAAAATAGGTGAACTTGGTCTTTCCTCTCATGTCAACAAACTTATTTTTAAGACTGATTGATGCCTTTTAAATGTATGAAATGTAATGTCTTTTCTTCATACTCTTTCAAGTGTGGCAAAAAGTTTATAAAGAGTCACATTAAAGGTGTATTGTTAAACTCCTCTGATGCTTTATGATCATTTTGACCTATAATAATAAAATTCTGATAGGGCCTCAACACCTTAATTGTTGTTTTTCAGATGAAGGCGTTCTGTTTTTGTTTAATATTTCTGCAACCACCTCAGGATACTACAACTGCACGTCCAGCAACTTGATCAACTCAACTACCTGCATTCTGACCCTTACAGTCACGCAAGGCAAGATAAATCCATTTGGTAGGTTTTATTGTTTTTCAGTCATTAAATCATCACAGCAGTCTGTGGTTATTTAAAAATGTTGTGGTATTCATTCTTGTCTGAATTCATTTCTGTTTTCTCCATCAGCGTCCATACCTGTTGGTTTTACAGTTAAAATTGTGTCCTCTTTGATTGGGCTCCTCCTAGTCATCACAACTATTTTTTGTTGTTGGAGAAAAAATGAAGAAGGAAAAAGAGCAATATGTAGAGGGGAATCTTGAATGTGAATAAAATAACTAAACACACCTCTCATGAGCACAGATAAGCCAAAGGATGAGAACTATAGGCAGCGGCCAATAGGACCCCCAATCAAGATACAGTGCTCAGCATAAATGAGTACACCTGACTACATCATCAGAAAACCTTGAGTTTCCTTTCAGGATCATCATGTTCTATGAGACACCATAAACACTCCCACAAATGTGGGCCATTGATTGTAAACTAGATTTATTAATTTGCGCACACAAAAAAGTGATTTTTCCTAATAAATCCATCCAAGCCCATATTGCAAAAATGAGTCTTATGAGTCTATAATTGTAGTCTTATGAGAAAAGCCACACCTTTTATTTTCTTATATTTAACTCAAATTTTTAATCTTTCGTCTGTTTATGAAATATCATTTTATGACTGATTTTTTTCGGATGTTAATCTAATTCTGTTTTGAGACCATTATGATTTTATGACTTTGTTTTAATTTCTTTTGAACTATGTGAAGCACTTTGTGATTCTTTGTCTGTGATAAGTGCTATATAAATAAAATGTACTTAATTAAGACTACAAAATTGAAATTAACAGGCATTCAACCACAGATAAATCTAATGACTCATCTAGGAGGTGTCCAGCAGACAGGTAACTGTAATAGGGCATTAGTTTACAAAGAAAAGCCCTTCCCATTTCATGCTGTCAGCAATGGCTCCACGTGAAAGAGAAATGTCACAAAGTCTAAGAAAGGAAATAATTTCTTTACACAAAAAAGGTGAGGGCTACAAGAAGATCAGCAAAGATTTCATATCAGTCAAAAGACTGTAGCAAAAGGGATCCAAACATTTAAGAAAGATGGAAGTGCAACCATCTTACAGAGACGTCCAGGCCATCCACTACTGGGACTCTAGACTCTGGAGTGATGAAACAAATATCACTGTTTTTGGAACTATAGGTTTCAAAACTGTATGATATTGTAAAGGTGAGGATTTCAAAGAGAAATGGATGGTGCCTACAGTGAAACATGGTGGTGGCGGTGTCCTTATTTGGGGCTGCATGAATGCTGCTGGTGTTGGGGAGCTGCATTTCATTGTTGGCATCATGAACTCAACAATGTACTGCTCTATACTGAAGGAGAAGATGCTGCCATCACTCTGTGCCCTTGGCCAGCACTTGCACTTTTCCAACATGATCCCAAACACACATCTAAAGCTACTGTTGTATTTCTGAAGAAGAACAGGGTGAAGGTGATTGAATGACCAAGTATGTCTCCTTATCTGAACCCAATCAAATTCTGAAGCAGCAAGTTGTGCATCACTCTCCATCCAGCATCCAGGCTCTAAAAGAGGTTATTCTTGAAGAATGGAAAAAGAAAAGATGTTGCAATATGTCACCAACTTGTTCATTCCATGCCTGGAAGACTTGGTGCTGTCCTTGAAATTCATGGTGGTCATACAAAATACTAGATGAAGTAGTTTTTGTTGTGGGGCGTATTCATTTTTGCTTCAAAAAATTTGAGTAAAACTGAAGATTTTGTGATCTAAGTTATATTATTAACCTTAATTTCATTTTATGGAGTTAAGCACATGTTCAATAAAACCCAGCCTTGTGAAAAATCTGGAATATATTTATTGGATTGGCTAACAGCAATGCAACTATACCACTGACCCCATTAGCGTTGCAACGTTAATGTTTTGTTTCCACAAATAATACACGCCTGGAGGAGTTCTGCTGTGTGGTGGAGATGCTAATGCTACCAGTTAGCTTCTACTCTCTGCTGTTTCCTGGACTGTAAACCATCAACAACCTTCCTTGTCGTGAGTCCATGAATCTTAAGTGACAGTGTGATGTAGATCTGTCAGGATTTTCAAATCCTAGAGTTTCACCGTCTGTTTTCTATCAGAAACTAAAGCAGGAGATAGGTGTAGGAGACTATTTTCATGTTCATCATGCATGACAAACCGAAAATATTCAGAAATAACAATTTAAAATGTTTTTTTCAGTGAAGTACCACTTTAACATGCTGATTTGTTTGTGCAAAGTAATCTGAAGGTGTGTTTCTGACTTCCAAGGAAATAAATTGTTGGAGTTGAGCTCTCAGTTAGAAACTCAAAAGTTTAGGAAGTGCTAAGTCCTAGAATACCTAATATGTTGTGTTACCACCTGTATGCTCTCCTTCATCGATAATTTGGTGAAGCACTCTGAATAAAATCAGGACATGAAGCGTCTACTTCAACTTACTTCATTCATTGAACCTCATGGATTAAACACCAACGATTACATTCTAGAACGTTCATCTGTCTCTAACATCCCACCACTTATGTCATCATGTAAGCACATATTAGCACATCAGTAAATTATGTCCCCCTTTTTCTTGGAAAATGTCTTTACACAAACATTTTTCATAACTTTACATCAGCTTTTATTAAAGGGACTTTACGGAGTTTTGAATTTTTATGCTCGTGATTGCCCCCTCAGGCCAAAAGCGTAACGGCAGCTTCAATAGTAGACTCGTGCACGAGGCGCGCATGCTGTACGTGCACACTCCTTACTGAAAATAACAGCTGAGACAGTCAGCTCTGTGTGTGTGTGTGTGTGTGTGTGTGTGTGTGTGTGTGTGTGTGTGTGTGTGTGTGTGTGTGTGTGTGTGTGTGTGTGCGTGCGTGCGTGCGTGCGTGTGTGTGTGCATGTGTGCGTGCGTGTGTGTGTGTGTGTGTGTGTGTGTGGCCCGGAGGACAGAGGACAGGAGCACGCGCAGCTAATTAATTAAATAATTTGGTTCTGTTCATTTCTCTTAAGCACAGCCGACAAAGGTTTAAGATGGGTCAGTCCTCCTGCATGCTCTTGAAAAATTGTTCCAAAATGAAGGTTGAACCCTCATCTTTTTTATCTGTGAATTCAATGCCGTTCGGCGAGTCTCAAATAAAAATTTGGGCATCTTACTGTAAAAAATATACCATTATTGTAAAAAATAAACTCTAAATAAATTAAGTTCACATCCAGAATCAAACCCAGATCTTCTGCACGAGGGTCCGACGTCTTACTAGGTGAGCTATAACACCAGTAACATCATTTGTATGTGTAATTTTTATATCCCTGATGACGTCTTAAACAACGTTCAAAGAATGGTTCAGAGCAAAAATGGCTATTTTGTTGCTTATTTGCAGGAAATATCTAGAAGAAAGTAGCTAAGGGTCCTCAGAAATGTAGCTAGGTTCATCACTAGGCGTTAGGAACAGCGACAAAGTCGCTGAGTTAGCACTACCTCACTCTCTGCTGCTAAAGCTACTGATAGCAAATGCTACGGGCTATGCCTGAGCGTGAACGCGCATGAAGCAGCCTGCTCGACCCGAGCATCTCTCTTTTTCTGTGATTTTATAGAAAAACAGGCAATCACAGTAAAAATGCCAGGGCTCATTCTACAGGACCAGGGCATTGCAGGAGAATGTAGGAAGAAATGTCTATACATGTTTTGGCTGTCAAACTTCCATAATGCCCCTTTAAATCTTTACAATATACTTTCTTAACGACATCACAAACAATGACTAAACAGGTGATCTAGGTGGGCTGTCCTCTCACCTGAAGCAAAGCTTAAAAAGCAACTGCAAGCGCTTTCAAACAGACTTGAATCTGCACCGAAGGGCCTTAAGTGTCTGTTAGTGCTTATTTTTGTCTTTTTAAACTTTTGCTTTGCACTATCTTCCATTGGGAAAGAGAAGGAAACTCATCTGTGGGTTATCCTGTTGTCTAGTAGCTCCGGTTTGGGCCAACTGAAAACAATAAGTGCAATCAGGGGCTGTGAACGAGCTGTTTCTTCCCTCCCTGAAAACACTCATCAGGTGATCTAGGTCTCAACCATTGCAATCAGCTGCTGCATGAACACCTGTTTCCAACTAGTAGCACAGCATAAGTTTGGTGGCATAACTGAAGCGTCAGCGGAAGCGTCAGCCCTTGTGTCTCAGCTCCTCTGGTGTGAAGACATATGTGTCTACCTGCACGTGTCCACAGAGCAAACAAGCTCGACCCAGACGCTGCTCCATCGACACCTTGCAAAGTGTGCCATTATCCTATACCTGTGATCACTGGCTTCAGAGGAAGGTCACACACAACAAGCCGCTTTCTCAACCTTCAAAAACGCTGCTCGCTAAAACCAACTCCCCCCGAAGACACTCACCTGTCTATGGGACCTTGGAACTGCCAATCAGCTGTAAACAAAGCAGACTTCATTACCGCATATGCAAACCACCTGTCACTCGATCGTGCACTGGCCCTCACTGAGACCTAGATCAAACCATGTGACAATGCTACCCCATCTGCTCTCTCAATTAACCACACTTTCTCCCACACTTCACGTACATCTGGCCGAGGTGGTGGAACGGGCATGTTAATTTCCAACAAATGGATATACAGTCAGTTGCTACCCATCACTAAATACAACTCCTTTGAATACCATGCCATCCAGGTAACGGTACCGAAAAAAATTCTTTTTGTTTGTCATATATCGCCAACCAGGTCAACTCGGAGACTTTCTTGATGAACTCGACACCCTGCTCTCCTCCATTCCTGAGCACGACTGTCCCACAATGGTCCTTGGAGACATGAATATTCACCTGGACAATCCCAGCTCATCAGGCTTCCTGTCACTAATGTCATCATTTAATATAAAACTAGTGCAAAGTCCTCCAACTCACAAAGCTGGAAAAGCACTTGACCTCATTTTCACCAGAAACTGTGCCATAGACACAATCTCTGTCACACCGCTGCATCTTTCCGATCATTACTTCATCCATTTCAGCACGACTTTACAAGGGAGGTCCACTGCCTCCTCCCCAATGGTCTCATTCTGCCGAAACCACCGCAATCTGGCACCCAACTACTTCTCCTCTCTTGTTGCCTCCACTCTTCCATCTCCCAGCACATTCTCTGCTTATGAAGTGAATGATGCCACCGAGTCACTCTGCACCACACTCTGCTCTTGTCTCCTAACAACTTGTGCCCTTTAGCCACTAGACCTGCTAGATCCTCTCATTTAGCCAGTTGGACCATGGCTAAATGATACCCTCCGGTCTCTACGCACCAATCTTAGAGCTGCGGAACGGAAATGGCGCAAAACAAAATGAAGAACATAAAGGCAAAATGCAATTCTAAAACAAGCAATCAAAATGTTGAGCATTACAGGCTTTAAATTTCAAGACGTTAAAACATAAGTAACATTTAAGGTCAAAGGTTAATGCAAAAAAATGTCATGGATTAAAAATTAGCTAATAAAAGAGATGTAAAATCAAGAGTAAAAAAACGAAGTTTCTTTTGCAATTGGGTAAAAATATTGGTTAAGTTTGGACTCATCTTAGCCATTTACATCCGCTATAGTTAGGTAGATAAAATCCTTTCCTGAGCCTTTGAGCGCTGCTGAAATTCTCGCCTGCCGGTTTTGGTCAGCACCTCGCAAATGCTGGAGATTTATGTTTTGCCCTTTATCCTAGTATTTATTCATACATGTGGCTATGCATATAAATAAATGCAGCACCTAAAGCACTGGCCTTTTAAGCTGCCCCTTCCTCACTTCTATCTCAGATTTAGATTAACACATGATTCGGGTCGGTATATTTCTTGGTTCTGGACAGAGGTTTTAACGCCATGTCTTTTTTGGCTCTCCTGCTGCTGGTTCTCACTAGCAGCTGTTATAGGAGGCCCCGACTCAAGATTCTCTCCTTGTTTACATCTTCTCTTATTTCTGCAGGAAATCCTGCAGCTTCCTTCTCCCTAGCATGAGTGCACAGTTGCCTAAAACCACAACTTCCTGTACACAGACTCTGCTCCATGCTCTGAAGAAAAGAAAAGCTGAACATCAGCATAACATTATTTGTAATATCACCTAAGCACATCCTGTATTTCTGTCTTCACACATTACAAAGGTGATCAACAGTACAAATGAAAGGTCACGCAAGAGGTCTCATACATCAGAAATGTGGGTGAAAAGTGAGTCCTTGTTCATTTCCTTCTTGCTTGTGGTCACCTCTTCATCTGAAAGAGCCGAGATGCAAGTAGGACTTTCCACAGAGTGGTTTAAAGGTAATGATCCAAGTGTGTATACCGCAACATCTAGCCATGGTCCAACTGGTAGCAGTATATTTCTCAGCTGATCATGTCTCCCTCCTTCTTCTCCATAGTGATGCTTATGGTTGTCAGCTGCTCCTCCACACATTCACACAGCAAAGCCAACTCCAACATGCGAGTTAGTGTTAGATCAGAACCCTCCTCAAACCATTTTCTTCTCACATATTCAGAAGTGCACTTACTCAGGATAGCGTCTCTTATCTGGTTTACTTTATCTCCCCGGACATCACAGTCTTTAGCAGCTTGACTCAAACGTGTACAAAATCATCTCACCTTGCTTTTGGGACAACTTGTGAAAGGTTTGTTGTGTATATGCTGCATTCACTTGAGGAACAAAATTTGTGTTAAGTGTCATCACCGCCACCGTGTGATCTGTCACCTCTAATGTTTGCGGTAAATTTGAGAAAATGTCTTGCACGTCCTGTCTGGCCAGATGCAGCGGTAGAGCTTGTCTCTGCTCCGTAGACCTGTGGCATCTTTGTTTGTGATGAGTCCCTTTCCGTCTGCTTACAACTCAAAAGATAACTAATTAACATTTTGCTCGAGATTCCTTCTCTAACTTGACCAAGTATGAAATGGGCTTTCTGAAACGGCTCCGGCTGAAGAGCACCGTTGCTTGCTCTTCATGTGCCTGTCCCCATGGCCGTCCAAAATCACTAGGAGCCAGAGCCGGATTAAATAAATGGACTACACTTGGCAGGCTGTATTTTTTTGCCCCCCCCCCCCCCCCCCCCCCCCCCATCGATGTTATTTAATGAATTGAAATCTGAAACTTACCAGAGTTACTAATAAAATTTCATTCACATTTTACATAGCCTGGTTTTTGGTTACAAATAGGTTGTTTGTATGCCAAAATAAGTCATGTTTTGTACGTAAAACATTCTATCAGACTATTTTTTATAGTAATAATGTATACGTCATAGCACAGCTGTATTAAATGCTAATAAATTATCCTCATCTTATCCAATGGGAGTGTCATTGTCAAGGCAGTAGTACCAGTAAATAACCACTAGGTGTCGTTAAACTATGTAAACAGAGCAAATATGTTTACCGGTATCTTATTTGCTCCGTTTACATTTAATCAACACATTTAATTAAAAAGATTTTCTGCTAAATACAATAGCTTACAACATTTATAAATGTTGACAAATTAATCACATGAGAGTGGAAATACACAAGGCGCAAAACAAACTATAAACACGCAGCTTAAATTATTACAGTATACATTTTATACAATCTATAATCTTAAAAGAAAGTATTTTAATAAAATGAAAACATTATCTTAAGTTTTGCTCATTCAGGCTGTTATTGCCTCTGCTGAATCATAAATTCTGTGTGAATTTTCTGAGTGTTTGTTATGCTTTTTGAACATTAATAAAACTATTTGAACAATAATTAAAAAAAACAGCAACACTTACCAAGGAAACCGTTTAGCATGCACCACTCCGGGATAATCTCCAGCTTTCCAGCCTCACATGCCTCAGTCACAGCAGAAGCACGTCTAAAGAAATGTTCCTTGGTTAAGCTTCGGTGTATGTCTCCATATTTCCTCTGTGATGCAGAGAAATATCCAATATTTTGAGAGGGATGGTTCAGTGCAAAGTACTCACGCATCCTGTCATCAGTTTGGTACCACTTTGCAGGATCAGATGGGTAGCTCGTTAACACGCTTTCTGGGTCTAGAGGCTCCTGCTGTAAGACTATATTGGGCTCACTTCTGGCTGGCTGCTGTTCTTCCAGTTCGTCCTTCTGTGATGGCGTTGATGTTGACGGCGTTGGCGCTACAGCGTCTTCCGCCACATTTCCCGCCGCATCTTCGGGCCGTGTCTCCTCCGGGTCTGGCTCGGGACCAGCCTCTGAGTCTGCTGACTCGAGCAGGTTCACAGCTGTCGGACGGCTGCCTGAGCAGCTCGACAGAAACTTCTGTAAAGTTCTGTAGGAGTCCTATCTACAAATTCTATCACAGGACATTTGTACATTTTATTTTTGATTAACTTATTTTTAATTTTGTCCCTCTGTCTGGGCCCCATCCAGTCAGTCAGGCCCTAGGCACGTGCCTACTTTGCCTTTGCGTTAATCCAGCTCTGCCAGGAGCTGGGGTATTTGGAGGTGAGTGCAACATTTGATCACAGTCAGACACCTAAATAAAATTAATTTAGAGTATTTATTGTGCAGAGGTTATTAGTGAAAAATACACACACACATACACTACATTAGTAAAAATACACTTAAATTAAATTCTGCAATAGCACCGGGCTGCCTGAGAATGTGACTGACATTAAATCGGCTGTTCAAAGGGCAAATATCGACCAATGCTGATGTATAAAAAAATGGTAAATATTGTTAGGTTATATCCCCTGCCTCAGAAAAAGAATGGTTACCATTTTTAGGCATCCAGGAACATTAGCTCCTACCAGGGAGAGGTTAAAGATGTTAAATACATATTTGACAGCTTAACATTTAAAGTGTCTGTGGCTAGATCCCAATTTAAAATGGTTTGGACTTTTTACGCTGGATCTGTGTCTGACGAAGTTATGAATTTTATGGGGTTTGTTGATTATCTTCAGTTTAGGTAATTCAGCAACAGACTGGTTTTAAGAACTATCAAAGTATATTTATATGCCAGTGGAACCAAAAAGTTGTTTTTTGATAATCTCTCAATAAAAATAATTCCTTATCTTCCTAAGACCCTGTATCCACATATATGACCAATGACTTATTGCACTGCAAAACTTTATTCTCTTCAACTTAGACCTTTTTTATTATTATTTACTTGATTGACACTTGATATTTTTTCTATTTATTTCTTCTTTCTAAGTTTGTCCAAATTTTTATTTAACCGCATAATCTATTTACTATTTTGTTCATGTTTGTGAGTTAACTCATTTGTAACGGTTAGAAGTTTTTTTTTCTTTCTTTTAAATCACACCAAATACAAATTCAGGTCTCGGGAGGTTAAGAAATAGTTTTACAACTGGTGCAAATGGTAACTCTCATCCTGTATTATGTATTTAGCATTTTTGTTACGTTTGCATGGGACACTGCCATTGGGTCACGGATATTTACCATTGTTTATGGTAGAACAGAAGCTAAAAAGTTAAGGAACTGTTGTGAATCCTGTGATGGAGATTCACAGGGCGGGCTACACCATGGGCACTAGCTTCCCTTTTCTCTGAAAAGAAGCAAGACAGTGGGCCGACGGATGGATGGATGGATGGATGGATGGATGGATGGATGGATGGATGGAAACAACGTAAACAGATTTGTGTTTTTTGGTTTATGTTTCTTTATATTTTATCAGGCACATTCACTTTAATCAGACACCTGTAATTTGAATCCTGGCTACTCCACTGCTAGTTTCCAGTTTTGTTTTTAAACAATAAATAAAATCTATACAGCACTTGCTCAAGCCCATATGCTTTGTGTGCATTTTCCTCTTTAAACCAGACATTTGAGCCTGTAAATGTTAACATGTTTGTTCCTGTTTTTCTTGGTCTGCCTCTGTTTCTGCCATTGAGTTGTATTGCTTCATTATAGGCAACAAGCCCTTGAGAAACTGGTTTGGCAGGAAGAAGAGCTGCAGTCTGAACAGCACCCAGCAGCACCACTGGTTAGAATTGATCAACAGTTAAATGCTGCTTGTGTCTTACAACATGAAGCTCACTCTTGCAAAATGACAGAGACAAGGACTTAACAAGACAAATACAAATCAGTGTGTAAACATGGACAGGACATGGCTTATTATTTGTTGGGAACTAGGTTTCCAGTGCTTGATCATGAACTAAATGGGCGGAAACTTGAATGATTTGTTCCCCTGCTCAGGTAATTCTAGGAAAACCTGGCTGGAATCTTTACAAAGTATCCCAGATAGGTTACAGGAAAATATTTACAGGGCAGGTAGAAACACGCAGGGTGGGCGGGACCCAGAAGTCAACACGCAGAGTAAACGCAGCGCATTGGTAGAGGGAGCTGTCAATCATCCAGGTGACTCGGCCGCACCCAGCGAGTTCATTAGGCTCCTCGGGTTTCGGTAAACGGACGCTGTGCGACTGCGCTTCTGTTTAGATATTTTAAACTACCGAACAGACAGGAGGAAAAAGGTTCGACCAAACATATCCTTTGCCATGGAGAAGAGGACTTTTGCCGTGGTTGTGTTCTGCGTGGGTGAGTGTTCCTTGCAGAATTTGTTTCTTAAAGGCCACACCTGTTTGCGCACCTTCAGCCTCGTCTGTTGAAATAAAGAACAAAAATAAAATAATAATTTTAAAAAAACACGACATAAAACAAGAAATTATTAGGCCTAAATACAAAACATGTCCAGCAAAGTAAAATTTTGCTATTTTGATACATCTGTTCATAAACTACAATGCTCTAAATTTCAGGCCCAAAATCTACTTGAAAGCGTTAGGTTACGTTGGAAGCGTGGGACTTCCGTAAGGATCACTCTGAACTCAAAAAGCCCCCAAACATATGTTTCAAAATCGGTGAATTTCTGGTCTATAAAAATATTAGCCTGTATGTTCTTAAAATGTGCGAATGAGTCAAAGAGAAATCAGTTTCTGTGATCATACTAAAAAGCAGACAAACACAGTCAACTTTATCACTATTATCTAGAAATGGTTTGCATGGAACCAGGGGGGGCGGGCTGCCAGAGATTTTGGGCCCCATGAAAAAATATCAAGTTGGGCCCCCTGGGGGCTCGTCCATAGCTGGAGCTTCCACCCTCCCAGATTCGAAGGGAGAAAAAAGTAATATACCGGTGTACTTTATATTAGTGTTTAAGTTTTGCTTAATTATGTCTACATGCATTCTTACTTATTTACATATCATTTTCACCAGCTGTCTCTCATTAAACAGTGAATTTCCTTCAACAGAATTAGCAACATCACTGCTGGAAAAAGCAGGAAATGCACATGCTGAAAGGTGTTAATCTCCTTTTCCCTGTCACTCCCTTAAAATGTGTGTATTTATTCTAAAATCTTATTTGATGATAAAATTCAAATTTGGATATCTAATTAAATTTCCATGTTGTGTCAAAGCTTTACATAACTACATTTTCAGCTGTCTTTCCTCTTGAAATCAAGTATTTCTGTATGACTGACAAAAATTAAGGATTCACTGCTCATAAGGTGACTTCTTTATCAAGTCTCCATGGCTTCATCATAGAAACAAAATGAATAAGCACACAGTTCAAACTGGAGTCAGTTAGGGTTACATAACATTTTATGTATATAAGTCTCTAGAAACCCATTTTTCTCAACAACAAAAAAAAGCTAAAAATATATTCAGCCTTGATTGTACACAGCAACTAGATTTATTATTTACAATGATATAATTAATAATGCTCGATAACGATCAATACTAGATTTCATATTTTATTGTGTTCAATGTTATATTAAGTTTATTTATTACAATTAACAGCTTTTGTTTCATTTTTGCTCTCTGATGAATTATTTGGAAATGACTGATTTTTGGTTTGTGTTCTAAAAGCTACATAAACAAATTACATCTTGTAAAACCTCCCATAATTCAGTCAGATTCAAAACATTTCATTTCAAGGTATTTAGTAGATGAAGAGGTTCAAATTAGTCAAAATAAAGTAGGGACCTCCAAATAACATACATTTCATAAAGACTAAAAGATTTTTTGTTTAATGTCTTAAATGAGAAAAAATACTGCAAAGTAAAGTACTTGTGATTTTTAAACTTAATTTTTTTTATTCAACTTTGAAACATTTTTGGGCCCCTGACAGTTGTGGGCCCTTAGAATCTTCCTAATCTTTCACCGCTTTACGGCGTCCCTGCATGGAACAATAATATTTGTTTAATAATTTATTTTATTTGTTTTCAGCGTGGTCGTGTGTGGCCACCATCACAGTTAACATCCCGAACAGTCTTTATAAGGTGGCCAGAGGAGACAACATCACAATTCCCTGCTCCTTTATAACCACCGTCCAACCAAAACAAGCCGTCATCACATGGTCTCTTGGGCTGGTCAGTGTCTGAACACAGGTATTTACAGTATTTATTAATGAATGTATGACTCTTATGTTGTCCTTCTGCTCAGAATGCTGTCATTACCTACTATTATCCTGTTGATGAAACTGACGTCACACAAGGGTACGATGGCCGAGCATCTTTGGATCTGAACTTTGCTGCTGGGAAAGCTGACCTCCTGCTAAAAGCTGTCACAGTAAAAGACAATGGAAAGTATGGCTGTCGTGTCCAAATTCCACGTGATGCCCAGGGTCAACCTGATGACACTGCAGATCTGATTGTTCTGGGTAACTTGTTAAATTGTTGAAAGGACAGAATGTCTTCTTTTAAACCATGTTCTAACTAAGTTGTCATTTTTTCCTGCCTTGTTTTTGCTTTTTTTAACCTACGTTTTTAGTGGCTCCATCCAAACCCATCTGCCAGATCCAGGGCAAGGCAGAGTATGGTCAAAATATCAACCTCACCTGTGTGTCAGAGGAAGGCTCCCCTGCTCCCACTTACAAGTGGGCTGGCTATGATGCGCAGAACAACCCTCGTGCTCCAGACCCTAAAACCACTGACAGTATGTACCAATGAAACATCGATAATTCAGATATATCAATAAATCATTAAAACAAAGGTTAACCTCTGCAAAACCAAAGATGTGATTAGACCTGATCCACGAAATCCAGGGAATTTGGTGCATTTCTTTTATGACAACGTGTATTAGAGCCCTGCACTGAAGCCCTAGGCCCTCGGGCCGGGCTTTGGGCCAACGACTGTGTAATTACCTCGGACACGGGCCGGGCCTGGCGCCTTTATTTTTAATCGAATTCATTAAAAAAAATTGAAACACAAATCAGCAGTTGAGCCCTGCGCGGGACTGTTGGTTTTCTTCATCCCGCTCCTGCCCTGCAACGTGTGTGTTACACTCCCGCCCGCACCTGCAGCGTGCATGTCTACTCCCGCCCGCAACCGCAAAACTCTGAGAAATGATTACCTCACAATAAAAGAGATGTATTGAGTTTGCGTCCTCTCTGGTCCTGGAGAAAACATGTCACAACCCGCGGCTCTTCCATCCATCTGATGCGGCTCTCTGTGCTTGTAAAATAATGAATGGATATTTAAATAAAATGCTTTATATTTTACTGAATTAATTTTATATCTGTAAGTCAATTCTACGTAAAGATTGTCTGCGTAAACCTGAACAGGTCCAACCCAGTCTTACTGTGAGACCGTGTTGACGGGTCACGCTTGTGCGTAATCATAGGAGGATATGAGATTCTGGGCTTCTCCTCAGACGGCTCCTGGATGTGTCGCCACATTGGAGACAGGAACAAGCGCTATTCAGCCAAAGTTTCATAATCGGGGAACATTTTCTAAGTGACAAGTCTCTCTGAGCGACAGGGTTTGGAAAACACTCGCTTCAGTGGGAGGAATCTTCCCGCATGCGCTCTGGTTCTGCAACGCACTCCAAGCCCCTCTCCACAACTTCAGCTCGCTGTGCACATATGCGCTGACAGCGAGCTGCGCTGAGCAGCTCAGATGTTCAGATGGGAATCTTTTCTTGGGTGATTTAGCTACATCTGCGATGTGTGTAACGAATAAAATGTCAGTTCGTCTGCATGCGTCGGGGTAATTCTTTCTATTCTTTGTCCCAGTGGCGGTTCTACATCGAATTACTCCCCGGGCGAGGCCCCTTTTGAGCGCCCCCCCCCCAACCGCCCCCCCCCCCACCACCACCACCACCACCACCACCACCACCCCACCTGCATGAACACACGCATGTTTTCTACAAACAGGCATGTTTTATTAGAAGGACTATTGAACATTCATTTTTCTAAGTTGCACATATTTACATTAATTACTATGAAGTTGTGAGAATGTAAAGCACTATACATTATATAATGTATCAAAATATATAGAATCAAATATACAAAAACAAACAATAACTAAATATTAAGAATATATGATCATAATATATAATAAATATTCTAAATAGCAAAAATATTTCACACATAACAAACTAAAGATAATCACTACAGCATTGCACTTAGAATAGAAAACACAAACTAAAATTAAAACCTAACCTTGATGCAACGTCATCAATAATGTCATCATATGAAATCTGCTCCCCTACTGAGTGATTGATACTAATCAGAGCCAGGTGAGTGAGCCGCCCCTGAAACATAGGTGACCTCAGGTATGACTTGATCAAGTTTTGAAAAGCTCCTCTCAGCTGGAGCCACAGTGACTGGCAGAGCAGTCCAAAAGTTGGGGTAGATCTCCAATAGATCTTTATCCTGATCCATAATATTTTAGAATTGCCTCTGAAATTGTAATTTAAACTGACATAAAAAAACTGTAGACTACCAAAAATGCCAACTTTTACAGAACAAATCACGTAAAAATAATCAGTGCAGCCATCTGCAATAAATAAACAGGATAGTTAGTGGTGACTGGGGAGTTCTCTTCTGCTTGTAGAGTTGTTTTATTTATTATTATGTGAACATGATCAACATGTGTTTGTTGTTGTTCAGGCAGGCCACAGGCTGCAGTGAGCATTTAACAAATCCTAGTTTGAATCAGTAAAAAACGATTCAAGGACTTTTTTCGAACCATTTGAATATTCGTTTCAATATTTCAGCCCTATTAGCTCTGTTAGCAGTTAGCTGACCGAATGTAACCGTTAAAATCCCAGTTAACTGTTAAAATCCCAGTTAACTGGTTCAAAACATTGGAAACATGCATCATGAGAGCTACGTACCTTTATCTTTCTCCTCTTTTTTCTTTTTCTTTCCCCCTGAATGGGGTACCTGGTGGTTTTAGCCTTTTTATGTTCATCTCTTCTGTTTGGCTCCTGATTCAGTAAGTTTCCTTTAGTCAGGACTAAACTATTTGACCTTGAGGGGGGGGGACCACAAAATCGTTTAGTTTTTCCTTTTTTTATTCGGCCATTTCACACAATTCAGAAAAACCTGAAAGAATGATAGGCCTGTGTTTATGATATTATGAATGAAATATGGAAGAACGTTAAGATGTGATTGACTTTAGCCATGTTAATACAGTTGATTCAGCCCCTGCACGCTCATTTCATTTGGGAAAGACGCAGAGGTGAATTCCCCCGCCGCACCCCTCCCCTTCCTGTTCTTCATAGACACACGGTGCACGTGAACGTTCTCAGTCAGCAGGAGCGCCTGCAGCTGCAGGGGGCACCAACTTGCTGTTTCCAATCCAGACACTGTCATATGACAGATAATAGAAAACCTCGGTGCGGCGCAGATTTCCTTTTTTTTTTTTTTACTCCGCGCTTGTGCGCCCCTTTTGTGTCATGAAAAAATGCCGCCCCGGGCAACTGCCCTGTCTGCCCGTGCCTAAAACCGCTACTGCTTTGTCCGTCAAAATAAACCGTCAAATACGGGAACTGTCCGGTCAACACAACACAAGCCCTGCTTTTGACTGTTTTGTTTTCTTGTGAAAATTGTTGGAAAGAGATCAAATTTAACTTGATTAACACCAGAGCCAGTGCGCCATTATCTCCGTGACGGTAAATGAGGGAAAAACAAATTGATCGGATCCTGCACGTCTTTTAACACACTGGTCAGGATTGACGCACTTTGTTTTCATTTAGTTGGTTAAAAAAAAAGTCTGGCTCGGGTCGGGCCAGAGAATCCTGAAAACCTTTTTGGACCGGGTCAGGCTGGGGCTCCACCCCCTCGGGCCGGGCCAGACACGGGCTCAGATTTTAGGCCCGTGCAGGGCTCTAACGTGTATGTTTAAAAGCTAAAAGAAACTTTAATGGACTGTAATTGTCGCTTACATCTGTCATATTCATTTCCTTTCAGAGGGAGGCATTCTATCTTTATATAATATCTCCAAAGACACCTCAGGATACTACCTCTGCACGTCTACCAACGAGATCCGTTCTGCTTCCTGCAACCTGACCCTTTCGGTCATGCCACGTGAGACTCCTTCTTTACAAACAGCGTTTTATTTATTTTCAATCCATATAGGGAGCCTAAGTCATGCCAATCTACTTCCGGACGATGGGTCCCCGGATGAACGGAAAAATGAATGCAAGTCAATGGGGCTAAAAACGCTATTTTCTAATTCTGCTTGTTATGTACCATGGATTTTACATATGATGTCCATTAATTTTAAAGACACATTTTGATACCAAAAAAGTGATTATTTTGGATAAGGAGGGAATTTTATTTTAGGTTTTGGGTGAAAATAAGTCCAGGACTACAAATGCGCTTCACGAAAGTGACGTCATCGAAACAGACACGGAGAAAAACAGAGGGGAAATGGCTGTAAGTTTATCTAACTTGAAATTCTTCCTTCAGGAGGAAAAAAACATAAATCTGGCCATTTGGTAAGGAGCAGCTATGCTATGGGAGAGGATATTCTGTGGTGACGTCATTTATGCGACAAGTCAATGTCTGATTTGTTGTCATGCTAATTACAAACTTTTACAAGCTGATGAATCTCAAAGTATTTCTCATTTTTTGTTCTTACGGAGACCCATGAGCCCACCGGAAAGATTTAGGCTCCCTATACAGCACCTAATTCTTACGCTCACCATTGTCGCAACATATGCGTCTTTCATCTTGCAGCATCCATGAACATTGGATCCACCGCTGCAATCATTGGAGGAGTTGTTGCCGTTTTGGTCGTATTGGTTATAATCATCTACTGTTGTTGCTGCCGGAAGAAGAATGAAAAGGAGGAATACGCCATGGGGTAAGGTTCTTCTCTATTCAAAAAATAACTTAGTAAAAATCATGAAAACACAAAAAAACCATTCCTGTTGATGAATGAATTATCCCGTGGTGTTATGTGCAATTATCTGATTTGTGAGATTTAAGGACAAGTCTGGTATCTCGCTGTTATTTTCAGAGCATTAAAGATCAATGAAATTAATCCATAAAATATTTTCTTCAAAAGTAATTTTAACATTGTTCAAAATTGTGTTTTAACAAGATCACATTCTGACTTAGAAAACAAAGCAGCATTTTTTCCAAATGCAAATGCTTGAGGTGAGCACTCTGCTGAACCATAGTAATCACCCAAATGGAAATACCTACATGCCATTTAACATGTTGACCAAATACATTTTATTGAACCTTTGCACCTATGTCATCTGATCACGTAGTACTTTTGGTCATTTGTGGATGTCAACAGTGAATTACAATACAATGGAGTATAGGGCAAAAGTGGTGAACGAGAGATTTTGTTAGTTTTTTGTAGGGATGGACAATATATCGGCATCAATATTGGTATCGGCCAATGCCGCCAGGCTTAACTCATTTTCTGGGGGAAACCCAGCATAGTTATTTCATAATGGTGAAGCTTACCATGCTAAAATAAAATTGTTTCACACGTGCAATCTTACATCGGAACAATATTATCTAGCATTTCACTATAGTTGTCAGAAATGCATGTCCTCCATAGTGAAATAAAGGATTATCAATACTAAATAAGTATAATAAACACATAACATTTACCATTTCAGTTCCAGTCCCTGTCTTCCTCATGAAATAACAGTTAATTTTAACTCTTGCGAATTCAAAAATACTTTAAAGGCTGCTCATTTATTTGTTTGACAGCTGCTGTCCATCCACGTCTTCTGTCTCCATCAGTAATTTAAAAAAAAAGACCCTTGTCTGTTTGTGCAGCCAACCAAGCAATTACCATTCATCTTTTAAGAAGTATCTCCAAACTGCGAAAGTTCGTGTCAAAACATGAACTTGAAATGGTTATCCATGCCTTTATCTCCTCCCGTCTAGATTACTGTAACACACTCTTCACATGTTTTAACAAAAAAAGCACTTGACCGGCTTCAGTTGGTCCAGAACTGCAGCGAGGCTTCTAACTGGAGCAAACAGAAGAGCACACTCATCACTCCTATTCTAATGTCTCTGCGCTGGTTACCCGTTAACTTTAAAGTTCATTTTAGAATCCTGATTATAACTTTCAATGCCCTACATGGTCAAGCTCCTCCCTATATTACTGAACTGTTAAAGCCTTATACTCCAACCCGAGCCCTCAGGTCCACACACCAGAACCTTCCAGAAGTTCTAAAGACCAGATATAAAATTTGAGGTGATCGCTCCTTCCAGACTGTTGCACCCCGACTTTGGAATGATCTTCCTTTATCCTTATGTAGCATTGACAGTCTGGACACTTATAAAAACAGCTAAAGACCCTTTTATTTAAAGCTGTTTTCACACAAATCTTTCAATTATTTTTAACTCAGATTTGTTATCTTTCATCTGTTTATGAAATTTTATAATTCGATGCCTTTTTTTCTGATATTCTATTTCTGTTTTGAGATCATTATGATCTTATGACTTTGTTTTAATTTTGTTTTGATCTATGTGAAGCACTTTGTGATTCTATGTCTGTGATAAGTGCTAAATAAATAATTAATCATACTGGGAAACCAACAAAATAAAAGCACTTTAAGGCTACAAATTAGCTTATTTGAGACTCACATATTGAAATTAATGTCTTAATGGACTTAAATAGTTCTTTTGATGTCCTTGATAGTGAATGAGGCGTTCTCTTGACAAACATGGTGAAATGAGCACGGGGTCAATATTTTCATCTTTCAGAATTTGAAAATAAAGCATTTTTTAAATTTCATTTAAATTATTTTTTTTTTTTTTGCTATTTGAACTAACTGGTTGCCATGGATAATTTCTAAGTTGCCTAATGCATTCAACCTTAGTCCAAATTTCTCATTATTGTGCATGAATTTTTCAGGGTTCCTGAGGATGAGAATGGCATAGAGGCTGTTAAAAATGGAGAGGTTCACTGCGAAGTTGGACAGGAAAACAGTGAGCGGCGTGAGAACCACGAGGAAAGGAGTGAACGTTCCTATGACAACCGCAAGGATTACGATGACCGACGCAGCGACTGCAATGACCGACGCAGCGACTACAATGACCGACGCAGCGACTACAATGACCGACGTAGCGACTACGACGACCGACGCAGCGACTACGACGACCGGCGCAGCGACTACGACGACCGGCGCAGTGAGTACAGTGATCGTCGTAGTGACTACAATGACCGACGAAAGGACTACGATGATCGTCGCAGTGACTATGATGACCGCAGAAGTGACTATGATGACCGCCGTAACAAATATGGTGATCGCCGCGAGCGCTATGATGATGACCGTCGCTATGAAGATGAGCGACGCTACAATGATCGCAAAGACCCTCGCTCTGATGATAAGCGTGATAAACCATAAAACATTTACCCAAGGCCATCCACTCAATGTATGTTAAATCAGCACATTCATTTTGTTTTATACCCAACTCGCACAGCAGTTGTTATTTAACTGTTAATAAGCTGGAAAACATTTAAAACTTTGTGGAGGAACTCCCTAATTCATGTTTTTTTGCAGGAACCGTTTAGGGTTGTGTGATAAATTTAGCATACATGAGGAAGTAGAGAAAGAATTTTAAATAGAAAGCTCTTATGTGTTTATCTTATGATTTAAATGGTGCCAAAACAATCTGATGACATCAATAAGGTTAAACAAAAAATAGTATAAAAAGATATAAATCTCCACCATACACTTTCTTATTTGAATTTATTTTTCTTGGCTAGATATTTGATGAACTGTTCTATTGTAATAATTTTCAGAAAATATTATGCAAATCTTTTTAGTTAAAGGCAAGGAAAACAACGTTGGGCTGTTTTCTCCCCTCATAAAATAAATATTGCTATAAGATACAATTAAATTTAATATGCTTGACTTGACTTGCTTTGTAAATTTTATAAACTTTTTTGCTTGTTGTACAAAGACGGTGTTTGACTAATGTGTGTAACTTTGACAAATTGGCTCAAACATTTATTCTGAGTATGTTTTTAAATGCTGTCAGATTTGGTCTGTGTAAAAACTTGTGCTGTTTTTATACCTGCTTTTGCTTCTTGTTTTAAGTGATAGTGTTTTCATTTTTCTTTACAAAGCTGTGTCTCCACAGCAGATTAAAGGTGTGTGTTTCTATTTTATTCTGTTTAAATGTTTTTTTTTTTTTACATACAGACCATAAAACTGCATTCTTGTATGCAAACACAGGTTTTCAGGTTCCTTTTTGTTTATTGTCCAGTTTTTTTTTCCCCTGATTTTTGAACCACAACATAGTCTCTCTGTGTGTGTAGGGCTTTTTAGTATCACTGCTGGTTTATCCTGTTTATTAAAACTTGTCAAAACTAAGTTAAAGTATTTCTTGGCATTTATTAAAGTTTTATCTTTTGAAAACACTTGAGTTTTCAGTCTTAAATCACCAATTTAACTGAAGGAAGTGATGAACATTGCATTCTTACTACTAGATGGCAGCACTGAGCCTCATTACAGCCTCAGTCTTGCATGTTTACAATTTGTAGATGAAACTATAAAAAGTGCTTTGCTTTTAATAATCTGGATTACGTCAGTGCAAAAACCTTGACTGAGATGCGTAAAAGGCATTATTTTCTGCGAGATTCTTTTAAAAATAATTCAGGAGGTCAAAAACAAGCAAAGGCATAATTTAGAATACATACATTGAAATTACCCACAAAATACAATGACTGAAATTAGTCTTTGATTGGGGTAATTGTCTGCTTTATCTTCCAGTCTGTTTGGTTTTATAAATAAAATTGTTCAGATTAAGGTAAGGCAGAAAAAATAAAACAAGTAATGAATATTGGAAAATTCTTTACATGTTTAAAAGTAATCCGTTTCTGACACTTAATATTTGAGCATTTCTGTTCACTCGTTAGACTAATCTCAATTGTTTAACAGAAATGAGCAAAGCTGCTATTGCAAATACAGAACAAGCTAGGTATGGAACACTCGCCTGGTCACACCTGTCACTCAGTAGATGATTCACACCAACTAAATTCATAAGTGGCTCTCATAAATCCCTCCATCACCCCCACCGCCTGTATCAGATGCAGACACTGAACCGAGGGAGCGTCCCGACTCAAAACAACCTGCTACGTAAAGTTACTGTCCAAAAACAAAAATTGAGATAGTTAGCCCTTCAAAATAAAGTTGTTACGTTGCGTTTGTATTAAATAAACCATTGAATGATTTCTAACATATATGTTTTCTTGCTTTAAAAGCAAGATTTAATTAAACTTATTTAAACGATATGTAAATGCCAGATGAACGTAAATTTAATTCCCAGTGGGGGAACTACTTTTTTATTCTCAATTCTGATCTTTTTAAATATAATTTCACAGCTAAATCGATATATTTCTACCACTAATTACAGGAGGGAAAAAGTCAATCCCTCTATTCTTCTACCCTTTCCCTCTTTCTTCCTCCCTCTTCTCACGCATGACAACCGATTTTATTTTGACAGTAAGCACCGGAAACGGCTTCTTTTATTTTGAAGAACTTGATTGTTGTCCCGCTTATTACTTGGGTTATTGAGCGCAGTTGTCCCGTTATGGACGACGTAACTCTGAATCTGCGCGATCGAGACACCGTTTAGGGATGAGACGGAGGAGAAAAGAAAACAACTTTCGTCCTGAAGCGTTCATTAAATTCAGCTGCGGGGTCTGGAAGCTGATTTTGACCGAAATGTGGTGGATTTTTATTGTTTGTTTGGCAGGTAAGAAAGTGAGGATGAGCTGGTAAATAAAAAGTCCGCGCTGAGCGGCGCGGATTTGTTATTCTCAAAGTTCAGCTTCGGACTTTTGTTGTAAAGTTTTAGCCACTGGCTAGCCCGTACAACTTAGGTCTATTATAACTTTGGAATTAGTCGTGTGAATAACCTGATAGAAGCTTTGAGGGCTGGGGATTAGCAGGTCACTATTCACACTCTTTTAACAACAACATTTCATCTTTTCGGTTAGTTTGGAGAGACTAGATACTTAAAAAAGATAATAAACTACAACAGGGGGCTTAAATGTTCTCAGCTTCTGGTATAAAATAAGAAATGTAACGATCTTGAGTAGTTGCCAAGTTACATTTGTGGTAATGGTATTTACCTTTATGCAACAGTGCTCTGGGTTTATTTCTCTTACCTTTTTGTCATTTGAAAATACATTTAGATAAAACTAGCATTTGCTCCGAAATACACACTTTTCTTTCTGAAACAGAACTCTACTGGCTGGAGGGGTTTTTATCATCTCTGGGGGCTTCACTACTCATCAACATAGATAATGTAAACAACAGCACGCCTAAGACATTCACTAAAACCCAACAGTTTTTCTCTTGAGTCAGATTGCTGCTGGAGTTTATTCTTGCTGTCAGGATCATTCATTTAAACTGCTAAACTAGCTAATTCAACTCTTGCATTTAGCAAACATTTCATTATCATCAAGCCCTCAATATAAAGACTGATTCCCCTTCTCTCCTCTCACTTTAATGTTCTTCTGTGAAAGTGGTCGTCTTCACTGAAAACTAGTAAATCCAGGATGACTGTCTTTCCTTGTTTTCCTGACTTCTGGATTCGGAGCAACGTTTCCCTTTGAGGAATTCATTTGTTTCCTAGGATCCTAATTATTTTCTCTTTTGAAATTATTATTTTAAAGCTTCTAACCAAATGTAATCAAAGTAATGTAAAAATGCAGAATTGGGGTGTTAAAAATATAATACTTTATCATTCCCAAAGCAGACAGCTTGAGGAGGAGATTTATGTTATGTCTGTTTCGTCTGGTTTATCGGATTATTTTTCTCCTTGAGAACAATTTGTTCAAGGTACTGAAGTGATATAAATCATATATTTAGTGGTACGTGGCATTATATATTACTGTGGGTAAAAATGCATTAGAGACACATAAACTTTGTAAAATTGATACTTTTAGCTTTTAATTTTGTGTGTAATTTTATTAGTTAAAGAACAAAGATGGAGTCAATAGGCAAAAATAAAGTCTGTTGATTTTAACTTTATTAATTAAATAATTACAGTGGTAAATGTAAACCAGTCTGGCATGTGAATTCTTTAAATGAAAGCTCATTATTTGTAAATACAATGCCAAAGGTCATTAATTTACTTTCTCTAAAGCGTCTAAAGGATTTGGGATGGAATTCCATTTAAAAATTGTTTCATGCTGATGGAGGTTCAAAGTCATCCAGGTCATGGTTAGCCTGGCCTGCCAGACTTGTCCTCTGTTTAATTCTACACAGAGAACTATTGCTTCCTATAAGGAAGCATGGGACTGGCTAGTCAGACTAGATAATGGTAATCCAAAGGGGTTAGAATGAAGGTAACTGGACGTCTTTGGTTTCTTGAAGACATTTCTCAGATGAGAAGCGAAACGTCTCCAAAAACCACAGAAGTCCAATTGCCTTCATTCTAACCCCTTTGGATTACCAATAGTTTTATAAACAAGATTTTACTTTCTTTCTTCCTGGAACTTTGGATTAACTAAATCACCAATGTGCCAACCTAATAAAAGTGTTAATCTGGGTGAATTCTTGACAACAACTTTAGTTGGGTTTCAAATCAATAAAGCCACTCTCTTCTTATTTCTCCTCACGCCATGTTCTCTGATCCTGAATCTCTTTCTGCACCCACTGTTTGGCCTGACACACACACACACACACACACACACACACACACACACACACACACACACACACACACATGCACGCACAGAGGACAGCAACATGCACACATGTTTCAGCGTGTGTGCGTGCATTTTTTTTTCCCTTCACATGGTCACTTCATCTCTATGGCTAAGGCCAAGCTGCCGGTCATCATGTGACTCAGCCCTGTGTTTCGCAGGAGCCTCCCCCCACCACAACACCAGAACACCAGAACAGCTCAACAGATTTTAGTGAGCACAAACAACTCAGACAGTTGCAACAGGCGTGCTATTTTTGCCAAATGTTTCACTGATTCATGTCTGTCAATCTATAAGGAAAATAAATATTTCCAGTGTTCATTCTATGATTTATTCACCTTCTGGCACATGTCCTTGACTTTTCTTGGCAATCTCGATTGCTTTAGAAGGGTGGTGTAATTTATTAGTGGTTTTGAAACTCACATTAGAAGAGATGATCTTTTATTTAGCTAATCAGCATCCCTTAAACTCCCTTATACCACACCCTCGTTTTTCTACTAAATCGCATTATTAATCATCCTCTCTTCCCTCTCTCACAGGGGTCTTCATCCCCTCTTGCTCAGGTATCCATGTGTTTGTAAAAGATGAGAAGAGGTATGCTGTCCCGTTCCAGTCAGTGGTACTACCTTGTCACTACACCACAGTGTCCACCCAAGCCGTTGTGGTGGTGTGGGTGTACAAGTCGTACTGTAGAGACCGCACCAGGGACTCGTTCAGCCTCTCCGACAGCTTGAATGGAGGCCTGGGTGGTGGCGGGCTGCAGAGAGGGAATGGAGTTGTCAGTGGAAGCTACGAGAAGGGTACGACAGTGAGCTACCTCGACTGCTCTGACAGCAGCCGGACTGTCCGGACTGTGGCCTCCATCTCTGGATCCTCCGTCACGCTGTCGGAGTTCTACAAGAACAGAGACATCTCCATCATCAATAGTAAGACACTGCACCTCTGTTTTTTCTGATTAAACAGCAGCTGTCATAGCAGGTTGCCCCTTTTTTTTTGGTTGTATTATGTCAAATTTGAGTTTCCCAGTTTTGGATGGACTCCCAGCATCAACATGTCCTCAGCTCTTCCTTTTGTTGTGATGACATGATGCCATTCAAGAGTTGTCCCATTACTGTTCTTACATGTCTCCATGGGTAAGCCCAAGTAGAAAACAGATCTGGAGTCTTGTTTGCTGGCCCCTGATTTATGGAGCTGTAAATCTGACAGAAGAATTGCCCTTCTCTTTACCAGCCAGGATTTCACACAAAAGAACATTTTTCACACCATCCTTCCATTCATCTTCACCCCTTGCCCGTTCCCTCTGATGTTCTTCAATGTCCCACTTTTATTCTTCTTCTCTCAACATCCCACCATCTAAATGTTTTGATATAAAGCTTTCTTTGAGTTTGTGGTTTCTCCTTTTTTCCTGCCTTACTCCACATCCTCCCTTGAAACAAGAAAGTCGTGTTATAAAAGGCCAAAAAAAAGAAAGTAAGCACTCCATTGCCTTTGGAGACGCCCAGTCATCCATACCCGTGTAATCCTATTCGGGGTCACAGTGAGATTGGAGTCAGACCGAGCATGTCTAGGGCAGGGGGTGCTCAGATAATCACATGGCTAACACGCTCAAACATTCACAATTCACACACGACTGAGAGGATACAGAAAATGCCACTGTAGCTAAACATGGTAGTTTATGTGAGATTATCAGGGATGGAAGAGAGCTGTAAAAAGCGTTTTCTGGCCGATGTATTGATGTGTAACCAGACTGGCTTCTGTTTTAAGACTGCATTTTAATTGTTTATAGTTCAATCAGCTGAGAAGACATTAATCTGAAACTGTGCTTTTGGGAGTAGGGATTGATCGTTGTGTGTTTCCTTCTCGGGAACACATGCCAGCAGAACAGAGGACGTTAAACGATGTGGTTTATTTGTGCTGCCATCAATATGTAAAAACAAACAATACTTGTTGACTAGATTTGTTTTACATTCATGAAGGTGTTTTGGTGCTGGGCTTTCATCAGGTAGGGTTCTTCTGGAATGCTGTAAAGAGCTGTGGTGGTCTACACACACACACACACACACACACACACGCACGCACGCACGCACACACACACACCTATAATCTTAACAGCATCAGGCTAAATCGCAGCACAAATAGCAAACATGACTTCATTAGTGTTCAACTCACTACAAACATGATTTATCAGTTGAGAGGAAGGGAAACTAGGAAGAAACCTTTTCTAAAGTCTTTCCATAATAACACCCCGGCTGCTTAAAAAGCAAGTCACCCCTTCCAGATTCTTACTCCACTCACACTTCCTGTTTGAAAAATGCAACAAATGCTGTTGCCTAGCACACCAAAAGGGCGGAGCCGCTAATAAATACACACATACAGGCTCACAGCTGCATTGTGACATCATATGGTACCAGCTAATGTCTTAGGGTACTTCTTAGCCAATAGCCGTGGCAGATTTCAATTCAGATGCAGAGCTGAGTTTTTACCCGAAGAGGGCGCAACACTGGCACTTTTAGGCAGAACATTTAAATTTTAACTGAGATGCTCTAAAGCACCAAATTATTGACTGAACGTGTCTACAGCACGATTAGACACACATTTATTTAGTTTATCAGCAAAAAGAAGTTGATTTGGGGGTGACTTGCTCTTTAATGCCTTTAGGTTTTGAATGAGATGATTGTGGGTGGCCCATAAATTAGTTTGCTCTTACTAAATGGATATGATATGTAGAGATGGATGCAGTTAAAATAGTTTTCAACAGGTTTAATTCACATGTTCTACTTGCTTGTAGAATGAGAGATTATCACTTCAACCTCCTCCTCATCTCCCGTGTAGGTGCCGACCTTCGAATCGGAGAGATCCAGTGGGGGGACAGTGGAGTTTATTTCTGTAAAGTGACTGTATCTGATGATCTGGAAGGACAGAACGAAGCTTCGGTGGAACTGCTGGTTCTCGGTAAGCTTCTAATGGCTGAATATGTCGTCTGTTATATGGGTCATTTATATTCGGAATTAAGATTTTAGCCATTTTAAATCATCATTTATTGGTTGTGTTTGTGCACGCTTGGCTGACCACCAAGTGGGGAAAAGAGGACAGCCCAGGCATCGCAAAATACTGGACTATTACTGAGACTTTAAAAATCAGACACAATTCTGGTTTTACGGTGCTGTTGCTTAATTTGTAGCAACCACACTGACATGGACAGGATGTTACCGGTTCTGAAACATGGTTTAATCAGAGCAGAACAACACAGTAATATGAAGTTTGTGTTTATTGTTAATGTCTGCAATACGTGTCGTGACACTGACAGTGTACTTGTGTGTGCACAGTTGCGAACGTTGCCATAGAAACAGCTGAGAGCTTTGTGGCCTCTTAGTGCCTTAAAACTTTCAGACTGAACTTTTGTTTGGCCCACACTCAAGATACCTATGTGTAAGAGCAAAGAGACACTTAGAGGAAAAAAACCTGCTAGCTCGCAGTTGTTGGACGCAATCCATTGTATGGTTGTTACTTCACAATATTATTATAGAAGAGTAAACAGGACAATATCTGTAGCCGCATAAGACCCAGCATGAGGGGCTGTAACCACCAGTGTCAGAAGGTTTCGTGGTTTTCTTGTAGATAATAAACCATGTCAGGCACTCGTTTCCATAACAACAGTTGAGGCCAAGCTTGGGGGAGGGGTGGCTTTTGTCCGGGAAGATTTAATGATGTGGAGGCGGCATGATGACTGAACGCCATGACACAAAAGGTGGAGGAGAGTAATGTCAGACTCTCCACTAATGGTTTAAAAATCTCAGCAGCTGATAAGAGTTCTGTAAATGTACGGCCCCAAAGTTCTGCTCAAGATTTTAGATTTGGTGCCTTCGTGCATTTCCAAATTTTTCACTGTGTCACACTAAAGTAGGTATTCAAGTATTATTTTGGGTTATAGCCCATCTTTTGAGTAGCTTTCTTAGAAATAATCTCTGGAGCTCAATGTGATTACTGCCCTCTTGGTAGTTGTGGGTACATACGACTCCAGCCCTCCGTCCATCCATTTTCATCCACTTATCCGGGATCGGGTCGCAGGGGCAGCAGCCTAAGCAGAGAGGCCCAGACTTCCCTCTTCCCAGCCACTTGGGCAAGCTCCTCCGGGGAGATCCCAAGGCGTTCCCTGGCCAGCTGAGAAAGATCTTCTCTCCAGCGTGTCCTGGGTCTTCCTTTGGGTCTTCTCCCAGTTGGATGTCCCTGGGAAACCTCACCAGGGAGGCGTCCAGAAGGCATCCTGACCAGATGCCCGAGCCACCTCAACTGACTCGATGTAAATGAGCAGCAGATCTACTCCGAGCCCCTCCTGGATGATCGAGCTTCTCACCCTATCTCTAAGGGAGAGTCTAGACACCCTGCAGAGAAAACTCATTTAGGTTGCATGTATTTATTTTGTTGATTCAAAGGAGGACATTGCATACTTAGGCCATAATCTGGCATATTTAACAGAAATTGTATCCACAGTCTCGTTTTTCAGTCACTACCCAAAGCTCGTGACCATAGGTCTAGCTCAGCTCTCCACTACGATAGATCGGTACAACGCCTGCATCACTGCAGACGCAGCACTAATCCGCTTATCCATCTCAAGCTCTATTTTTCCCCGAGATAGTATATCTAACCTGGAGAAGGCATTCTAACCTTTAATAATTCAAGACCATGGTCTCAGATTTAGAGGAGCTGATCCTCATCCCTGCCACTTCACACTCTGCTGCGAACTACTCTAGCAAAAGCTGGAGATCACTGTCTGATGAAGCCAACAGGACCACATTAATATCAAACAGCAGAGACCTGCCCATAAAAGATATGAACAGAATTGGTGACGAAGGGCAGCCTTGGCGGAGTCCAACTTTCACCGGAAACGAGCCCGACTTATTGCCGGCAATGCGAACCAGGCTCTGGCACCGGTCATACGGGGACCTAACAGCCTGTATCAAAGGTCCTGGTACCCCGTACTCACAAAGTACCCCCACAGAAGTCCCAGAGAGATGCAGCAGAACGCCTTCTCCAAATCCACAAAACGAGGAACGAAGATTTGCCTCTAAGCTAATTACCTCTTGTTAACTGCAACATCAACATGTATTCATAGCTGTAGCAACAACAGTAGTGGTAATGATTACCTTTAGAACACGTATGTATTGCTCTAATGTTACAAACACTAATGATTAATTTGATTCCGTTACGTTACAATGTTATAAAAGCGCTCCTCCTCTGCAACAGACGAGTTTGTTACAAAGCCAAAAAGACTATTTTAGCTGGGTACATTTGTGAGCACAAGTCTTTTTGTGTACAATTTACTTTTGGTTTTGGGTACCTACCTCCATTTGACTGTAGCGTTTGTATTAACAGGTTACAAAGTTAAGTCAAGTTGTTTGATAAGCTATCATCTAGTGTTTATTATTAGATGGCACGTGACTGATCACACCTCAAACTGGAACCTAATGATGGGTATATTAACTCATCCCGGTGCAATAAGCTATGCTTCAATGCACGACACGATTAGTTGACTATTAAAATGTATTTTGTAGCAGCCCTACTTTACTTCTCTTTCATGTTTTCTACATGGAAAGAGAAGCAGTTTGCAAACATCAGCCCACTGCACCAAAAAGGGATAAACAGTTATAATGTGGACCTCAGTAAATCCTTGTCCTGCAGTGCAAAACTGAGCTGCTTTCAAATATTTTAGCAGGAGAGAAACTAAAGAAAGCCGGGCTCTCCGTAGACCCGGATGCAAAAGCTAACGATTACATTTCTTGCAGTAAATATTTCAGTGATGTAACTATTTCTACATAAACTATGTGTTTTTTTCTTTCTTCAAATGCAGAAAAGAACTTTTTTAGCATTCATCAAAATTACACAAAGGTATGTGCACTGTCAGCTGGAGCTGGGCCAAGAGCGTCTGTTTCTACAGTCCTCCCTTTTCTACAACCAGCACTCCTTCCTCCTTTCAGCCCGTAAACACAATCAACTGTAAAACATCACTATCTGTTTACATCACAGTTTTATCGTCTGTTTTCACCACTTATAATGTTTCAGTTTGCTCACCTCGAACTATGAAACGTGTTTTTTTTCCCAGGTTGTTCACTTTGGGTGCAGTTTTTGTTCAAAAACATTGTTAGAAATGCCTCACAGCTGTTGTACTTGCATGCTTTGCTTCTCATTTTAAAGAGGCACCCCTCCACTTATTATTCTTTGTAATTTCCTCAGTTATTTGTCTCCATAACAAAGCAGAAACTAATTATGATAAGCAGCAAAAGCGACAGAAAACCTCTGGGATGTTTTATCATCATTTAGTTCACTTTAAAAGCTGCATTGTATGATAAAATGATACTTTGTCCATTTGAGGCGGGTTTAAATGAAGACACTCTGACCATAAGAAACAATTTATCAGTGATTCTCTCTGTTTAGGATAATTTCTCATCCTAACTTAATGAAAACAAACTCTTTTATCAGACAGGAGCGGTTTGTGGTGTCTAACATCAGAAATGATTTAGCTGTGCTCCTCAGCTGCTCTGATGTAATAAACCAACACACCTTCATATGCATGCTACTGTTGACCTGCCAGCTCTGTCTTTTCTGGATCTCTTTCATGATTTCTATCTTGATGATCTCTTGAGCATGCTGCTGCAGAAATAATCCTTTCTGAATTTAGTCATTTCATTTTAAATTGGCTCCATTTCTTCTTCCTCTCTCCTCTAGTCACCTCTGCTCTGTCTCCCTGCAGGTTTCTCAGGCGTGCCTGAAGATCTGCTGCCTAACTTTGATTTGAAGATTATGCCAGGTACAGTTGGGGCATAATGGTTTTTCCACTTCATCTCCCTTCTTTCATTCTCACTAACCCAGTGATTTCCTTTTCATGCTAATCTGACCAACTATTCAGACTCCTAAAACACATAAAAACACAGATCTGTTTGGTAGATGCCAAAGGAAGACTTAAAACTAACGGGTTTTACACTTTTATTGTTGTTGAAACTGTATTTTCTGATCTGTTTCCCCCCACTCCTGTAAATAGTGTTTGAGAAGGAGGATTAAAAACAGCTGATTTTAGATCCACACCCATCAAATAATGAGCTGGCTGTTGCTCCCGCTGAAATAAGCTGTTAGAAAACGCTTATTATGGTCATCATGGTTATTTATGGATGTGGTTAACGTGTCATCCCTGTCCACTTGGATGAAAACCAGTAAGAGGGAGGGAACTTTGTTTATCACTAAGAGTTTTAAGGAGGAAAAATGAAAGAATACTTGAACTTTATGGAAGTTGCTCCCTGGTTAGGATTAGCTCTGTCTGAATGAGCGGATAAGAAAACGTCCCACAGAGTGTTGTAGTTCGCAGTGACTCACACTGACTTCATGTGGAAGCTGACATGTTTTTGTGTGTGTGTGTGTGTGTGTGTGTGTGTGTGTGTGTGTGTGTGTGTGTGTGTGTGTGTGTGTGTGTGTGTGTGTGTGTGTGTGTGTGTGTGTGTGTGTGTGTGTGTGTGTGTGTGTGTCAGAGTTATGGTGACTGCAAACCAGATCACATTACAAGCTACTTTGTTGTAACATCCAAATCTTCAGTCTCTTGGAGAGCATCATCGACTTTCCGCTTCCTTCCTCCAGCAAAAGCCTGTTTCCTGCGTGTGTGTGTGTGTGTGTGTGTGTGTGTGTGTGGGGGGGGGGTTGCTTATACATTGTTGAGGACTTCCTTATCTTCTCTCTCCTTCCCTTCCTTTGCTTTGTCCCCACAGACACACACATGTAATCTAGTGGTTCTAACGACTGTGTCCTTCACATTTACACTGCTGCACACCAGCAGTGTGTGTGCAGTTATCTCGTTAGTTCAGATTTGTCACTATCTCAGGGAGAAATGTTTCTTTATGAAAACACTTCAGATACGAAGCTAAAATTAGTGTAGGGCAGTCTGGTGTCTTTTTGTTCCAGGGTTTAGGATTTCTCTCTTGTTTTGGTAAATCTCTGCTTCCTGTTTTTATAAGAAATACAACAAACATGCTCAATTCCTTCTGCATAAGGCAGAATGTTCTGTCATGAGATGCCATCTTTAGCTTTGTCTACAATAAACGTTACCGAAAGGGTCACAGTGTTTATCAGGTTTTTATCACGTGTTGCAGAGCTAATCAGGTGTTAGGATGTTTGCAGGTTTCATGATGTTAAGCAGTTAGTTGGATCGTTTAAAATAAAGGTGGCTTATCTTATTTCATTATTCAGATTAATTTATTATTGCTGTGAAACTGTATAATAGAAGCATGGGAGAGCAAAACATGCTGTTACTCCTAAAACAGCTTATGCTGTATAAGGAAGTGTTGAGAATAGCTTAAAGGTGACCGTACCGGGCCAGGCCAGATGTGAATGCGCCAAAATGTACCAAAAAGTCTTACGTCGTCTCTGACCTGCTTTACTATGGAAATTAGTGATGTTGTAATGGCCGCAGAGGAACGTTTTTATCTGAGAAAAGCTGGTTTAACCTGTAGCAGACATGCCCTCTTAAATTAGCAACCCATTTCAGCATTTGCAATATATAAATGTTGGTCGCAGTAATGCCTGCAGAACAGCGCTAGCCCAAGCTACTGCTAATGTCCTTGTTGGACGAGAGGAGAAACAACCAAGAAGAATGTTGGAGCTGCACACATGTAATGTTCTAGGATATTCTGGGAAAATCTAGACTTGGACTGAGTGCCAGATAGATCCATAGCTTGACTAATGAGTAATCAGGATACCGTGCTGTTTCTGGCAGCAGAGCCATTGGTTTGAACCAGCCAATCATCTCACAGGTCGTTTAATATTCATGTCCTGGCCGGGTGAGTGGGTAATACCAGTCTTTCTATTGTAGGACTTTATAATGCAGTTGTGTTTGGCTATTAATCAGGGCTTCTGGGTCACAGTGAGGCCCAACAATTATATAAAAACCCCAGGAACAGTTTCCTGCTATAAAACAAAGCTGATTCTACAAACCTTTTTACGGAGGACCTCCTCAAGAACAAAATGTTCCTCTAACTTGAGGCTGAATATTCTTCTGCCTGAAGGAAGAAGGATGAGTTGTCCATAGCTGGATGGGTGGGCCCACCATTGTGTTCTTTCCTCTGGTTCTCTATCTCTTGGTATAAATGTCACTTGGAGAACATGGCTTAACATTTACTCTTTTAACTTTGCTTTAGAGTTTGGTATTACGTTAAAATTTCCTTACGTTGTCTAGGGTCATACAGAAGAATCTCTGTGAATTAAAATATTGCGCAAAAGCTTGTTTATTTCAGTTATTCAACCTAAAAGGTGAAACTAATCAATGAGATAGACACATTCTGTACAAAGCCAGATATTTCAGCCTTCATTTGTTATAATTGTGATGATTGTTTTACAGCTGATGAAAACCCCACATTAAAAATCTCAGACAATTAGAAAATTGTGAAAAGGTTCAATATTCTAGACTCAAAGTGTCAAACTCTAATCACCTAATGAATCCAGAAAACCTGCTAAGGGTTCCCGAGCCTTTAGATGGTCTCTCATTCTAAGTTGGATTACTGAACTAAAGAAACGTTTGCACCATCTTTTCATTTTTCCACTTTCACCTGTAAATGTACCACTAATTTCTGTCTGTTTAGTTGTGATTTCCATACTTTAAACTTGTGCTCACCAGGTAGATTTTTGGGGCGGTGCTGGGACCTCAGATCATTAATAGTTCACACTGTACAGCAGGTCTTATTCACAAATACAGAAGTCAAAATAAATTCAGACAAATAACTTTAAAGCAAAACCAACCCAACTGGAAGACAGCTGCAGGACGTTAATGTTCAAAAGCAACAGATAACACAACATGAAGCCCACCCCCCACAGACTGTGACCAGCCCAAACTGTTCCCATCAGAACGTGCTTGATGCTTTGATTGTGTGTTGTGTGTTCCTACAGAGTGGGCCTTTGTGGTGGCTGTGGTGCTCAGCAGCGCGTTGTTCCTGCTGCTAGTTGGGATTTGTTGGTGTCAGTGTTGTCCCCATTCCTGCTGCTGCTATGTTAGCTGCTGGTGCTGCCCGGACACATGCTGCTGCCCCAGACACCGTGAGGATAAACACACACACTACCAGTAGCACCACTCTGTGCTCTGATCACCACTGACGCTGAACTTCGGAGTGAAATGTGTTTTCTTTTTAGTGTATGAAGCTGGTAAGGGTATAAAGACGGGCACCTCCACTCCTCAGACGCCAGCCTACCCTCCGTACTTTGTTTCTGGGGTCCCTGCCATGGTTCCCATAGCTCCACCATCTCTGGTAGACAAGGTGTCTTCTCTTCCACCATCGAATGGCAGCCTGATCACAGCAGGTGATACATTATTTCCCTACACTATGAGCAAGGAAGTATTTTGAGTGTTATTTTACTCTGGATAAAGACTTCATACTACAAGAAAAGTATTGGACAAAAATGAGATTTTTATTATATTTTACCATTTTATTGGGTCTTGGTGTGAACTAGAAAACATGCATCAACACAAGAATGCCCCCTAAATACAGTGTTCCTCCACTTACCTGGAAATGCCAGTTACTGTCTGGTGACATCACACTGAGGTTGTCTCAGAGAGACCTTTCACAAAATGACTGTTACAGTATCTCCAGTTCCCATGCCTGCTGTAGCGATTCCCTACCGCGTGCCGACACCCCAGGATCACAACTCTCTCAGGGTGCTTCAGTATGTAGAGAAACAGCTGGCTAACTTCAACCCCTCCAGGTCCATCAGCCAACAGTGTAAGCTCCAGAAACCAACGCTATGTGCAGGTCTTACGTCATTTAGAGTTTTAGTCTCCTAATCTTCTGCCTGCTGTGCATGTCTCTCTGTGCTTCAACCTTCTGGATTTCCTGCATTTTGGACATGGACTAGTAGCATGCAAGCTTTCCTAACAGAAAATACTTTCACAAATCTCCTCCCAGCTCTTTGGGTGATTTTTTTCTTCGTGTTCTGTCTTCCATTATGAGATGTTCGTCTTTAGCAATCTTTTTGTATTTTTGAAACTCTTCAGCCTGTAACCGCTCTGAGGTGAGTTCCCTCCATGAAGGAGAAAATGGTTTCCGGCAAACTTACAGGAGCGTCCAGAAGAAAGCTCTGCCTGCCATCCCAGATCAAGACTCCCAGCCTCAACCACACGGCCGCCGAGACAGCCGCAGTCCAGAGCCACAGCAGCGCCACAGCAAACCGTCGTCCCCTCATCGTTATCGTCACGACCCAGATTCAGACCCTCACGACTCCCCGGATGAGCCTCTGCTCCCACGACGCTACAGCGACGACCCTCCTCCTTCCTCCCATTCAAATCGAGTCAGTCGAAATCACCGGCAACAGAGCTCCGGTGAGGAGGACAAGCACAACAGGTACAGTTGTTTGTGAAACAGATTCCTTCCCGCAAAGCAAAGCACCATAAACTTTTGATGCTTCACAGGTGGAACCCTCATTCAGAGCATCTGCAGAGAAAGACGTATCGACCCTCAGGACGAACCGGCTCCCTGGATGAGCTGGAGGAATTCGCTGCCACCTACAAGCACAGAGGAGGCAGAGGAGCAGAAAGGAGGGAGGAAGACAGGGTCGACTATGAGGTGGAGCTTTTGGAGTTCAGTCGATATCCTTCCTACCGCAACGGTCCTCCTCAGCATTATCACAGCAATGAAAATGAGCTGGCGGAGCACCGTGACCATGAGGAACATCCCAGAGAGAAGAAAAACAGACACAACATCAACGTTAGCCCTCTGGCCTCTCCTCAAAGGAGAGCGGGCACCGTTCCACCTCCTCCCACAGTGGGTCCACCATCAAGCTTTTCCCGAGAGAAGGATTATGATCCCAAGTTTCTGGACAACCTGCTGGACCGGAGGGCTAAGTTACGCGGAGTTGGCCAGGTGAACAACGGGGCGTGTGCAGAGGAGGAGTCAGATACACCCTCCAAAGGCAGCTCAAAAAAGAGCAGCAGGGAGTCTAGTCAGCACTGCAGCCGCTCACCTAGTACCAGGGCTGACGCAGACTCTCTGTATCTGGAGTCAGGAAGAACCAGAGCTGACAGCAGGCTCTCCCCACGACCTTCCCCGGCAGACGCTCGCTCCTCGCCGTCGCCTCATTCCCTGCATGATCGCAGAGAGGAGCCCAGAGACAAGTCTCGCAAAGTGGTGAGTGGAAGCTCAGCCAGTAGAGTAGTTCTGCTTTTGTTTTTTCCATCAGTGACGTGGGAAGTTACAGCATCAACCTTTTTACAGATTAAATATCGTCCTTCACTCTTAGAGGAAGAGGTTCACTGTTATTATACACATTTATACACATTTACCCTGAAATAATAAACCAATACTAATTCTTAAAAGGTGCTAAGACTCTAGAGGCAAACTGATCCACTTACAACCAAGAGGTCAACTTTAAACTCTACTCTGGTGGTATGTGAAGGGATTTAGGTTAAATCGGTGTGATTTTCTTGCCCGGAACTCTGATGCTCAGATTTGTTTTTGTTTTTTTTACTAGAAACCCTGACCCTAAGGTCCACACATGCACTAAGAAACCTGTGACTGAAAAACTTAGATTAGAAATAACACTTACTGGATTTTCTCTAGTTGTAGAAAGCAATGACTCTTGGTGTCAGAGGTCCTGTAGCTTTCATAAGGACACGTGTGAGTCAAGCACCGTCCAGGCTCCAAACGAGTCACACGTGTTTAAAAGACTTTTGTTACCAAGTTTTAAGAGTCTGCACGATCATACGGAAAAGTGTGTGGGTAACGTGTGAAAATACACGTTTTGTAGGCCTACAGTAAGTGTTGTTGTTGTACTTTTGACAGGTCAGGTTCAGAAGATACCAGAATGAAAACTAGGTAGAAGACTCTGTTCTGTATCCATTTCTTCTCCATAACACAGATAACGGATTGTTTCCTCACTCAGAAACCTGGAGCTAAATTGTGTTCAACATCAAAAGCAACTAAAATGACATAAAACATTAAATAATAATAATAATAATAATAATAATATGGAGGGGAAAAAAAGGTTGAAAACAATTTGTTCCAGGTTTTTATTTATTTATTTATTTTGCTTCATCATATTAACCACTTTAGTCTCACTCTGTGGAATAAGAGCTGATTTAACAATTTGATGATTGGACTCGCAGCTCTGCTCACATCCACTTGTTCTCACCAGAACACTCTCCTCAGTCGGGATTCGCTCATCGTCTGATCAGAGAGAGCGGCGCTGAGACACGCTGCAGCCACTCCACAGTTGGAGGAGAACATTTAAACCGGCTGGATTTCACACTTCTGCCTGACCATGACGTCGGGGCTTTCTGACTGTGACATCACTGGGCGGTGAAGTCATGCATCTCTGCTGAATGTGAACAGTACGTAAGACCCGGACCGTGCCGCTCAGCAGGACGCCGTTTGACTGCGCTTCGTCCCATCAGACAAACTCTGGATTAGCTTCCAGCACAACGAGAGGATTCTTTTCTGTGTGATGAGATCTGTGACATAAAAAGCTCTGGAGATGGTAACTGATGACATCATCGGTATGAAGAAACTTGCTGTATCTGCAGCAGAAAACAACAAACACACTCATTCATCAGCATTCAGCTAATAAAGCTGCATAAAGCAACAAACATCAAGATAATGAAGCATTTTATTAATAATCACTGACATTAACAATGCTGTTTACAGTTAAAGTTCTTTTTTCTTTACATTTTGCTTCGAGAGTTAGAATTTGTTCTATTTAATAGTTTTAAATAAAAGATTTGTAGGATTTATTTGCTTACGTATGTTTTTTTTTTTTCGTACGTCCCCTCTAGTTCCTCCATCTGGTTAAAATTGTCCCTTTTAGGCCTTTTTATTATCTTCCACTTGGGTTTTTGTACAAAAACCCAAAAGAGTAATCCAGAGGTGAATATCTTGTACAGTGAGTTATTTTATTCCCCCTGATTTCACACAAATTTTACTTTGTGTCAAACTGTTTTATCTTAAGAAGTTTTCATGGATTCTGCAGAAGGAACAGAAACAAATTGTGTCTTTGAGACAAAATCAGCTGGAAGCACAAACATTCAGGATAGATTCGCACATTTCCAGGTGGAATGACTGAACTGGTACTTCTTCATAGAATGAAACTGAGAATAAAACCACACAGTCATGGTAAAGTTGTGCAAATGTTCTTATTGGGAATTATTTCTTGTGAATATGATTTATAAATCATTATCAACAGTTGCAGCTTAACAAAACACCTGGAGATAACTTTTTGATTTGGTTCTTTGCCTTGCAGCCAGGCTACTGAACACAAAAACACAGTTTAAATTCATTCATGTTTGAGTCATTTACCAGTTTTGAGTAGCTAAAGAAGCAGAAACCTAAGAACGGGTGTGAGTGGAGAAAGCTGTCAATATTCTAAAAAACTCTTTCATAAAGTCTGGATAGTTTTGGGTCATGGCTGACTTAAGATGAAGGTTTGGCTGCATTCTTCTGTCTTCTGTGCCCGGTTGGTCCAGCTGAGGGTCAGAGAAGCTGGTGTCCATCATTCAGCTGTCGCACGCACGCACACACACACACATACAGAGAGAGAGAGAGAGTTAAATTACTAATATTCATGTTTTTGGTCTGTTCAGATCAGCTGGAGTGAACACGCACACACACACACACACACACACACACACACACATGCACATGAACATGCATGCTCCACAGAAAGATGAGATTTCTACCCAGAACTTTAACAGAAGTTTACACGTTTAAAATAAACAACCCACAGCTGGAGATGTAATAAATTATGTGTTGTTAGGAGTTTTCAGGTGAGAGTGGGAGCAGTTTGTTTTGTAAAAAAAAAAAAAAAAGTATAATAAAATGTAAATTGGGCTGAAAAAAGGTCAAACATGCTGTTCCTATGGAACACATTTTATATTTTAGGGTGTTTTGGAAATGTATTGAATGGAAATGGAATGATTACTTAAATGTTGTAGCTCATTTAGTAAAGATGTAAAAGTATCATTTAGTGGTATTTTCGTCTTGGTGTAAGTCAGATGATGCTAAACCTGTCAGTGTTCAACAAGATCTGGTTTTAAACCCAACTTTAACATGTACACTCAGTTTTGTGTGTGTGTGTGTGTGTGTGTGTGTGTGTGTGTGTGTGTGTGTGTGTGTGTGTGTGTGTGTGTGTGTGTGTGTGTGTGTGTGAGTGAATATAATTTCTAAAAATATTGGTAATATTGTGTTTTAAGGCACTTAACTATCATATTGGATTATGTGCCTGATTGGATTAGAATAATCCAGCATGTATTTATCAGTTATTGCTCAGTTCACATTTAATAAACACACAAACACACACTAACCAGTCTGCTGGTTTCTGTACGCTGTTCCTGCCATCCTAATGAACAGACTCATCTTCACATAACAGTATGAAGCTAACATCATTGTTTGGTTTTCTTCACTGGGATTTTTCTGTTTGGTACTGACTTTGTATGCGTGTGTGTGTCCGTGGATGTGTGTGTCCGAGCGAGAGATGACTCCTTACTTTTCTGAACAGAAGCCAGTGTGTGATGGAGTGTGACTCACATTATTTGTTCTTTGTTGTCATCACAGTCTCTGTTTTGACTCCACAGCTGTGTCTAAACTCATCCTGCCCTGAGTTTACTTTCATTTTTCAAGATGTTGTTTTACGTATTTGAAACATGACAAATATTAAACTCTGTTTTTACAACTCTGAGAAAATAAAGAAGAATATAAACAAGTGATGAGTGTTTATTCTGATATAGCTTTAATATGGGGGTTATTTAGAAAAATAAAATAACCCATGGAATCACATTTTTTAAATCGGTTTTATCAGTTTACTAGAATAATCGGTGCTAGTATCATTTCTGTTAATAAAGCTGACCTAATAAGTGCTGATGAGAGGGAAGAATTACATCACGGTTTGTTGACTACAAGAATCTAGTCAAGCAGCTTTTTCATTATTGCAAAGCTCATCAGAGGAACAAAGTCTGGGAAGCAAAGATTTTATATTTGTTTTTAAGGCTTTGAATTGATTATTCTGTATAAGTGAACACCATTATTTTTGCACCTAATTAGAAACGTCAGCCACACTGCACCTAAAGGCTGCACTCATTAAATCATAAATGTCTGCATTACAGCTAAAACTGTGTTTGTCTGTAGGTCATGCACTTGTCGTGCACACATGTCCAAAAGATCAAAAATAAATATTTAAAAGCAGATTATCATAAAAAGGACGACTTTAATATTTTGCTGATCATTGTTTTCTTTAAATAATTGCACTCTGACAGTGGTGCATAGAGTAAAAACAGAAAAAAGTGTCTGCATATTGTGGGTGTAGTTATTTTGTCCTGTTTAGATTATTATTATTTTTTTGTTTAATTATTAAAAGTAAACGTGTACAATCAGAAAATGTGCAAAAATGCACCTATATGCATCTTTAACTTTAAGTCTAAACAAAATGCCTGACAGCACCGCAGCTATTTTGGAACCAACACTTTTGTTTTTGTTTGAAATCCTCAGCAGATGCTGCAGGTTTGAGCCGAGAGCGCAGGCAGGAAGCAGGAGTGGATCTTGGTATGTACAGTCTATGATCTTGGCAGGCGTCTAGAAAAATAGTTTTCAGGGCTCCAGGTGGAGAGTGGGTGTGTGCAGAAACTATTCACCCTCTGAGGAGTTTGGGGGGACTCCAGAAACACTTCAGATAAACAGGCGAGACGAGTTTTTCACATCCAGATGAAGGAAACTGTTGGTTTTCTAAGGGAAAGCTGTTTCAGCAGTAGTAACAACATAATTGAGTTTAAGTGAGCTGGTAAATTTAGGCTGACACCTAGTGGCTTAGTTCAGAGGTACACCTCTGTTCTTTACATTAGTGGTATTTCCATCAACTTCAAACTTCTCTACGTGGGTAAATAGGTATTAATTACAGTAATTGCTGTTGTTCCCTTATTTTAATAACACAACAACGTTTTAACCACAACAGATATTTTAGGGTAGTGTAGAGTTGGTGTTTGTGCTCCTATCCAGACCCATGTATTGTTTTATTGCCTGTGAAAGACCCCTTAAACATTGGGATTAACCCATATTGAATAAAAACACATAAAATATCTGCTATTGTTTAACTGAGTGCTTGTTGTTTCCCACCAGATAGGTTTTTGTGTTATCCCCTTAACCCTCCCACTGCCTTCATGGGTGACCCCGCGAGGAAAGTTGACCATTGAGCAGGATTGATGGACCCAAGGGATAAACCATCAACCCTGCTCAATGGTCAACTTTTCTCGGGGGGGTCACACCCATTAGGACAGTGGGAGGGTTAAAACGTATTCCAACAATAAATGTGTATAAGTCGCTTGCTGACCCACGTAGTTCGTTTGTGTAGAACTCGTTTTTGTCAAAAGAGAACAACGATTTATGTTTGTTAACTGTCCTCAGTCTTCGTTTAACCCTGGTTCTGTGTCTGGTCAAACTGGTTGTGTCACTCTCATGTTTCCATTCATGACCCAGTCATCTAGCTGCAGTCAACCTTTTGCTCTGGGCTGTTTGTGCATATTTCCTGTGTCTCTCTCACGGCGAGCACAAACATCCCTTCTCCTCCACCCACCTGATCGTGCAGGGTCACAGGGAGCTGGTGTCTGTCTCAGGCGAGGGGTGGGGTGCACCATGAACAGTATACCACACCATCTCAGCAACACACACACACACACACACACACACACACACACACACACACACACACACACACACACACACACACACACACACACACACACACACACACACACACACACACACACAAACTAGCAATAAATTGCTTCCCAAATAATTTACCATGCAAGTATTTGCTCTGCAGAAGAAAAACTTGTTAGAAAAACACAATTTGGTAATTCTTTCTAATTCATGCATAGTTCGTAAAGTATATGTAGCCATCTTTTGTTTGCCCCTACATATATATTTGCTGTATCGTGGCGATTGTTGCTAGGTAAAAGCAGCTTATTTTCTTCAATGCAATCTTTATATGCATATAAAGATTGTGATGTCATGGCATGATGAATCACTGTTTCAGTTTCATTGTTTTATTCAGAACTAGTTTCTTATCTTTTCCATGAACCCATGAGTGAAGAAAATGGGACAAATGTTTCCATTCTGAGACTAAATATCTTGTCAGAGTCCAGAACATTGGTGCTAAGGGTTTGTTAACTTTCGTTGAAGTTTTTTAGATGGGTAAGAAAATATTTTTCATGGGTGTGGATCGTGTAGCTTTATCAACACTGCATGCACATAAAAGCCTTGGCTCACAAAGTGAAACAAAACTAAAGAATGTTAGGAAACAGCTCACTGCAGTTTAATGTGTGCTTGAACAGATGTATGAGGTTACACAGAAGGATTGTAATCAGCTATTTTTAGGAACACAAGCATCTAAAAATAATAAGAAGAAATTACCTGGACTTTTTATGTACCTGACTGCATCATTAAGGATGTTTGGTGGGTCCATTGGATGTTTCAGGTCTTCTAAAAGCTCGAGGAATATCAGAGATGACAAATAAACAAGCAAAGGAATTTATTTTAACACAACAAACGTTTTTATTCCATTTCAATAATGTGCCAAGCGTTGCTTTGTGCAATTCCATTTAAATGTCTTTGGCCTACTGTTGAGATAAAGTAATAGTGTGTGTTTATTTAACCTTTATGGGTTTAAAATTTGTTAACTGTGTCTAGTACATGTATCAACATGATCTTATCCAAAAAAATAAAAACAATATTTCCTCTCAGTCAGCTGAGTATAAATAAAAGCTGGTATTACACACCTAATCTCATCTCCAGTACCTCTCGACCAGTATGGGAACCTCCCCAGCACCAGGGGGCACTGCTTAGGCCACCATGTCAAATATTCAGATTAGGTCGTTTTCTGATTAACATTTATAAATGAAATATAAAATAAAATCGGATAAAAATGTGTCATGTGGACAAACCTCAATTTTGGGAAAGATCAGTTTACTTCTTATTTTGAAACGTGGCGTATTTATAATAATGGTATTCCTGCATCATCAAACACGCAGCTCCCAGAGGTTTAGCAAATATATGTATTGCTTCTTGTGATTAAAAGCTTTTATAACAGTTTCATGATTATTAACGCTTATCCTGAAGAATACAAACACAATATGAAAGAAGGACCAACCTGTCGGGCTTCCGGATTGGAGCGGACAGGGAATTCAGCGCACCTGTCTACGTCACCGCTCTGAAAGACCTGCGTCCTGGAGCTCCGCATTCTCAGGCCTCTTTCAGTATGCGCATGCGCCTGAGTAGTCGCAAATTTTTTTTTAAATTAAATAAATAAAACACAACTTGTTCATCTTCAACCCTCCCAGCATAGATCAACCTTCCAGTTCTTTTGTTGGTACTCCTTTCCTTGATTTGTATCCCTCAGTTTTTATAAAGTCAGATTTTCTGTGTGATTTTATTGACTTTGCAAATAAATTTTATTTTTGTGCGATTTCATAAGCTCGAATAATAATATAATACAATAATATGTATTTTTATTGTTTTTTTTTTACTTTTGTTTTAAAATGCACTTGTCACGTAGCATCTTCTGATAAAAGTATACAAGTCCAAATGGAAACTATGAATAAATCAAACACACTGAAACAGACCCACATCGTTTTAAGAAAAAAGTAGTGTATTTTTATTTAAATCAAATTTCAAAGCAACTTCATTTAGCCAGGAGTAGTAGTGCCTATTTTTTAAGCTTTGCCTTGTCTTCATGCTGAACTGTGTCGCCCTCATGTGGTGTTTTACTCACTTTACAAGAAACAAGTTGCCAAAATTTAAAACTATTTTGTAATGTAGGGTTACATTTTTCATGGCGTTTCAATTTTCACGATGAATTGAACTTACATTGATTATTGCTGTTAATTAAGACATCAACAATAAAAAGATGATGAAACAAATAAATAGATAAAAGTTTGAAATGACATGAGACATGTGTACGTTTGTGTTTGGCTAAATTACAACAGCCTACTACTTTAACTATAGATAGAAATAATGAGAAATTGTAGAAGACATTGGTAATGGTGAAATCGTAATGTTTTGTATTGATATTGTTTTCATGATTTCTTAAACGTTTAGAAAAGTAAGTGATTGTACATGTTTCTTTTGAAAAGAAAAACGTTTTGACTAAAACGATGCATAATTGATTGGATCAGAAAGTCAGTCTTTAATAGAAAAATAAAGGTTTGTTTTAAGGAGCGTTTGGGAGTTTTTGTTTACAACTGTTTAATTGCAGTTTGTCTAAATTGTTTTTTAAACTATTTTTAATAACCTTTTTTGATTGATTAAGAAAGAAACAAAATAATCGGCATAATAAAGTAAATGAATAAAAATTAACAGGTTTTGAAAACGTTACCAAAATAAATGGGTGTCTCAATCAGTCATAAATAGGCTGGATGTCAATAAAAATGTAAGTTGAATAGTTAAAATAAATAAATGCGAATAAAAATAATATGACTACAAGGAGAGAAGAAGAAAACGCGCTTTATTATGATTCATGTTCATTAGCACTTTGAGATTACTTATGTAATGTAAAGTGCATTATAAATAAAATGTATTATTATTATTATTATTATTATTATTATTATTATTATGTGCGTTAGCATTTCCTTTGCGCATGCGTCAACTGAGGAACGGTCCTCCTGTTGCTGGGGCCTCAAAGTGCGGTTATTGTTGGTTTCGGGGTGTGTCCAGAGGTGAGGTGAGCGAAGTATCAGCAGCCAACATCAGACTGTCAGTCCAAGTCCAACTTCAGGGTGAAACGATGTTGAGCTGATTTTAGAACAAGGTTGAGATATAGCTCAGAATTCCTGGGTTTGTTCTTTCTTTTTATATTTATCGCGTGTGTTTCGAACCTCTGTTCACACATTTTCCTCGGACCCGGAGGATTTTATCCGAACACCATGCGGAGTCTACCTGTCGCTCTCCTCCTTTTCTCCTTTCTCAAAGGTAGAAACTTTCTGTTCTTTACCGTTTGGTTTCATGATGTTTTTTAAATCATGTCAAGTGAATTTATTCATGAAAACATTTCGTTCATTAGTTTGGCGTTACTAAACCCCAAAGTATCGATCACGTGACTTTTAAACAGAATTTAAAAAAGAAACTGAAAAGTATTTTATTCTTTCACCTGATAGATGAAACAACCAGTTGAGTATGTAGTTTAAGCTATTGGTGGTGAGGCAGAAACTCTATTTTGTTCTTTTGTACTGTTTATTTATTATCAGTCCAACTAGGGGGCAGCGATCCTCGGATTAAATAAACTGTCACCACCAACTGGAACATTTCCAGCATCTTTATGAATATCGAGTTTCTGCTGTGTCAAATTAACTTCAAATCAAGGATAATCTCATTCCACCTGTTGATTGTTAGTTTCACAGTAAGCCACTTCCGGTCTGTGCCACTGGTGTTTCTAGTTTATCCACTTTGAAATGAACTCGAGAGAATCCCTCACACACACTTATTGTTTCACCACACGTTATTTTCCTCTGAACTAATAACACATCTGGATGATTTCCTTTCAGTTCAAGCTTTATTCAGCTGTGAATTGAGTAATGTGTTTTCTCTACAGTGTCTGAATGTGTAACGGTGTCTGTGGCTCAGAAACAGCAAAGCACAGCTCTATTTGCTAATGTGGTCCTCTACTGTGACTACTCCACCTCTGCCAACATCCAAGATGTTCTCCTCACCTGGGTGTACAAGTCCTACTGCATGGATCCTGTGCTGGACTACTACTCCACAGGTAAACACCCTCCAGGTTACAGGGGATGACACCTAATCCAGACAGATAACTGAGGTCTTGGAGGCTACAACCTAAATGTTGGTATCAGTTCTATTTGCGGGCTTTTTGTAAGAGATAAACATCGAAGCCACAGTGAAACCAAGAAGAAAACTCTTCCTCTGCCGGTTGCCAGGATGATTAATCTCTCTGAACTGTTCTGTTTACTGTACACCAATGTTTAAAAATAATCTGACTCTTGAGTCGTCCTGGTCGTGGTAATCTTGGCTCCTGAGCAAGGAAATCTGAGCATTTAGTATTATGTTTATTACATATAACACTCTGTTTGGAAAAGTAGTGTTATGTGTTAAAGTGGTGGTTTGGTGTTCTATGAGGAAATGTGATGATGAGCAGAGAAGGTGTTTTGGAAGGAATCCAGCAATGCAATATATGTCAGAATACTAGAGAGACAACATGATACGATATGACAACGATGCTAAACGCCAGACAATAGTTGCTATTTTTAAGACTAAATTTCAACAGGAAAACTCAGGCCAGCCTCTTCAAGACACATCCAGCTTTATCATAAGATCTATACCATCCAAATGAATGTGGTAAAAACCTGTCGAAGCAGCAAACCCTCTACTGAACATTGGTGGTTAGGGTTACTGTGAAGGGTCCTGTTGGGCCTTTTTGGCCTGTGGGACTCCAGAGGGAGATGATCGTTACCAACAGTCCCCGTGGAATGTGGCATGGGTGGTCGCAGAAGAAAAAACCTGGGCGTGGGAGGAGTTTGGTGAGACCATGGAACAAATATGGCTTCGAGGAGATTCTGTTAAACTTCAGAAGGGAAAGCAGTGCGCTACCAGCACTGTTAATGGTGGGGACGGTGTACTGTTGACCTGGTAGTGGATTGGTGGGTGGAGTACTTCAAAGACCTCATCAATCCCACCGGCATGTCTTTCAGTGAGGAAGCAGAGTCCGGGACTTTGGGTTGGGCTCTCTAATCTCTGGAGCTACAGTCATTCAGGTGGTCAAAAATCTCCTTGGTGGCAAAGCCCTGGGGGTGGATGACACTTCCCTGGTGGATCACACTCCCGAGCCTCTCTGGTAAAGTTGATCTATGTTCCCACACTCACCTATGGTCCGTGACCGGAAGCATGAGATAGCGAGTACAATCTCTATTAGATATATCGCCACAAGTGGCCAAAATGAGTTTTATCCGCAGGGTGGCTGGGCTCTCCCGTAGAGATAGGGTGAGAAGCTAAGTCATTCAAGAGGGGCTCAGAGTTGACCTCCTGCTCCTCTACACCAAGAGGAGGCAGTTCAGGTGGCTCATGCATCTGGTGCCTCGTGGACGCCTCCCTGGTGAGGTATTCTGGGCACAGCCAACTGTGAGGAGACCTATAGGAAGACCCAGGACACACTGTTTCTCAACTGGCCAGGGAATGCCTTGGGTGAGGTGGTGCTGGCCAACCCCCCATTCCCAACCTAACCATGAATAAGCGGATGAAAATCGATGGGTGGGTGGATGAATGGCTGTTTGCATGTTGATAATCAATAAAGAATCAATACACTGCTTTCAAATATCGACAATAACTCAAAGTAATGCTGTATTTCAGTGTTTTGATGTTTCTGTACATCCTTAATGAGCATAATAACAATGTTGGCCAGATTGATGTAATGGTAGAAACTTTGTGTCATGAATGGTAGAATGAATGTTTTTTTTTTTTTTTTTTTTTTTTGGGGGGAAACCTTTTTTTCAGCAAACTCTGCTGCACCAGCATTTTTAATTTGATGTCGTCCGACAAAAGCAAGGTTATGGACAAGATGTTGGCCAATAACAGGAGCGGCCCAGAAGTCTTTTCTTGTAATCCGAAGAAGCCGCAGCATTCTTTCAGTTTTACTCTTAATAGTGGGTAAAGAAGGCTAAAGGCTAATATTGAGCTAACAATGCTAATAGTGAGTTAGAAACAAATATCTACCTTCTTTCCATCACCAATAACTCGATATTACAGTAAAATGTGTTTATCTGGTTATGAACTTACTGTGTATGAACCTTCACTTGTCGGTACACTCGTTAGATGACAGGATGTCTTTCTTACTTGGTGCTTCTTAAAAGCTGCTGTTCTAGTTGTTGTGTATGTAATGTTGTTTGTTTTTTTTCGGTTTTCCAGCTTACCAGGCTTCACTAAAAATGGGGCAGGATCCGTCAAATGACTGTCCAGATAGTCAGCGGACAATTCGGACTGTAATCCAGAAGAAAGGGACCCAAGAGCCAATCCTGGGAAATGATTACCGGAACCGCAGGATTACCATCCAAAACAGTGAGTTCATGCTCTTTTAGACAAAATGTAGGTAAATGTATGTTTCAGAGCAGCTTCATATGATCTTGATCACTTGAGCAAATTTTAAAAAGTTGTACTTGGTGAACTAATCTAAATGTTGGTGTGTTTCTACAGAGGCAGACTTGTCCATCACTGAGGTGATGTGGTGGGACAATGGAGTTTATTACTGCACTGTTAACGCTGCTGGAGACACAAGTGGAAACCCAGAGCAGCCAGTCAAACTCATTGTTTACCGTAAGAAACTGAAGATTGATTGTTTGACATTACTAGGCCATGATTTGAGCTCTTATTATTGACAAAATCAGTCAAATTGTTTCTAAAATCAAAACACTCAAATGTCTGTCATTAATCCTGACCACTTCTTTCTTTTTGTGTGTTTCAGATTGGTTAACAGTATTGTTCATCATCCTCGGCGGCATCCTCCTGCTCATGCTCTTCTGTATTTGCTGCTGCCAGTGCTGTCCACAGAAGTGCTGCTGCTATGTCCGCTGTCCCTGCTGTCCGCAGACATGCTGCTGCCCGGAGAAAGGTAGAGCCTTGGCAAACAGGCATCCCTCACACAGATCAGCATGTAAAGCTTACGGAGAGCTATGTGAAAATGGTAGTGCTCAAAATCAAATAAATGATTTGTCGTCTTTCAGCTGTTATGAGGCATCGTATGATGAAGCAGGCTGAGAGGGCCATGTCTCCATGGTTAGGTGGACAGCCTATATATGCACCTATGAGCCAAGCTCCATCCCAGATTAACCCTGTGCTTTATGCAGGTCAGTTTATCACCATGGTGAATCACTAGTAGCTGATCTGACACTGATCCAGATATACAGTACCTCTGAGTCCATACCAACTAACTTTTTTTTCTGTTCAGGATCCGTCTCAGGGAAAAACATCCCTCTAAACCCCATGCCCCTTCCTCCACCTCATTCTACAGCATACAGCATGCCTCCTGCCAATGGCGTCCACACTCCTGCCAATAACAACCAGATGCTTGATTATCTGGAGAACCAGGTGCGGGGAATGGACATGTCAAGTCCACTGCTACAGGTATGGTGTTTAAGTTTAAGACCACTAATGCTTCTTAATCTCTTGTTGATACTAGGGATGGACAATATATCTGCATCAATATCGGCCAATGTTAGTCATTTTTTAACATATTGATATCGGTTCGGTAAATAAAACCAGGCCAATATTAACAACCGATATTTTTTCTATCTCGTCTCCATTTGTTTGCCTGTTTCAGAGGGTGGGTGGGTGGGGGGTGGTGGTGGTGGTGGTGGTGGGGGGGGGGGTGATGTGTATTTTAGTCACGTGAACAGTGAATAAAATCATCTCAGAACTGTAAATGTGTGTGTTATGTGTACATAATAACGTAAATTCAGCTTTAATCATTTTCACTCTATACAAAATCTGCTGATTTTAGAAGCATTAATGTCAGCATAGCGGTATCTGCAAATAATGGTTATTGGCCATAACGGTGATCTTAATATCGGATATTGGTATTGACCCAAAAATTTCATATCGGTGCATCACTAGTTGATACTGTAGATACATCTACACAGATGATCATTCGCTGAGCAAGCCGGTTAGTTTGAAGAAAATAAAGATTTGTGAGCATCATTGTGTTCGCTCACGGTTTTAATTTAAATTTTTGTCATAAAAATGTGTAATTCCACCAGCAGTTGGTTTTTAGTGTTAATTAAATTTTTATATTTCTGTCTTTTGGTGTCCCATTAGTCCCAGCCACCTCACACCATGCAACAAATGCCCCCTCCTGCTCAGCACATTCCTGTCAACATCCCGTTTTCCCCTGGTCCTCCCAGTATGATCTCCGCTCTTGATGGTCCAACAGAGCGCCGTGTCATCACACTTCCACCAATAAGGCAACAAGGAAGGGTTGCGCCCCCAGCACCCAAGTCTCGCCCTCCAAGCTCCAGTGAGAGCAGCCGCAGCGGCTTCAGTCGCCGGGACGATCGGGGGTCAGCTGGGAGACGTTACCCCTCCCCAACCAGATCTAGAGGTATTCCTCGGAGCTACAGCGAGGAGTCACTGGGTGGGAGGAGTCGCAGCAGGTCACAGGCAGGCACAAACCAGAAGCGCTCCCATTCCAGGGATGACTTGTTTGACAGTAGGTCCAGAGGAAACTACTCTCCCCCAGCATCAAGACACCCAGGATCCTGGAGCTCTGAGGAGGAGGACTACAGCAGGAGGAGAGGAGGAGGAGCAGGAGGAGGAGGCTGGTCTGACAGACCTTCGTATACGGAGTACGAACCAGGACAGAAACCAAAACGTTATTCTGTAAGGCACTGACTGTTTTAGAAGATTCCTACAGTAAATAAAAGACTTGCACTGATGGATGAAGCTAATCTAATGTTGGTGTTTGTTTCAGGACAAGAGTTCCCGCAGCGGCACCAGCGTTGTCATCTAAACCCATCTGCTCGTGCAGATATGCACGTCCCACTACCCTTGTTATCTGGTAAACTTTAAAGTCACAGTTTGTATCTTTAAAGGAATAATGCATCCACTCTTTGTTACCTCTATGATAAGCAAAAGGCTCCCAAAAGGATTCATGTTGCATGAAAACACTCAGAAGGTAACCAGTTCATTTGCCTGTTTGTTTGCATTTTATTATTTAGGACATTTGACTGTTGAGGAAATTCCCAATCCTACTTTTCTCTGCTGGACTGTATTTTTTAAAATATGCTGAGCAGATGAAGACACTGTGTAAATGTAAATATTGGTTATTCTCATGTGTTAGTTGGTCATGACATGGACATGGTCAATTCTATGGTGTAATTTAATCAAATGGGCACAACGTCCAAATTATATTCTCTCAAGGTCAGAAAAAAAACTGTGATCGTAAAAAAAAAGTATGAATGGAACTCAGGAAAATTTGAAGGCTTTTGAACGATATGCTATTTGTCATCTTCTGGATATCATGAAGGAACTGCAGTAAATGTGCTTTCTAATGTGAATTGTGAGCTCTAAAATAAGCTGTTTGGCAGGATTTAGAAGTTGTTTTTTACCCTACATGCAGTAAATTCCATATTTTGCACTTAGTGCTTGTCAGCAATTTAAAACAATTAGCGTAAATAAATGATCTTGTTTGGTAGCGATGTAGGAAATGATGTGAATATTACAGGTCTGTTGGACACTACGGCGTATTTTCCACCATTGATTTTTCTTTTGTTTTTATTGCTGTAGAGCCAGTTGGGATTTACTATAATAAACTTTGTAACTTTTAGGAAAAAAGTCTGGTTTTTTTTTCCCCTTGATATAATAAAAAGTCCAAATGTGCTAATATTTAGCTTCAAAAGAAGCTTCTTGTCCTAAAATAATGATGAAAACTGGTCCATGCATTTGTCTTATCCCACTGCCCTTTTCAGTGATCCCTCTGGGACAGAGATGGTGGTTTGTCCCTTAGGTCCACCTAGCAGGGGTATGGTGGTGCTCACTCCTTAAAAATTGATATAAAAAAAAATGTGGGGTCCATTGGACCCCGAATACGAGAGAAGCCATTTTAGCATTTAGTTCAATTAGGTTCTTAAAATCTTTAGTTGGTTGAAAACACTGCAGCCTGGGTTGAACCGAGGAAACGCTCCCAGCTAAATATGTTGAATTTAAAATTCTTCTGTTTGTTTTTAAAGCTCCTATGGCTTGGCTCCCCTTTACATTTCGGAACTCCTTCCCCTCTACAATAGTGCACGGTGTCTTAGATCTGCAAATCAATTAATTCTAACTGTTCTTTTACCCAGCTGTGTCAGAAAGAGGGACCGCACGTCTGCCAATGCAGCCCCAAAGCTCTGGAGCAGTCTTTCTTTCTAGATCAAAGATCTTCACAGCAATTTTTAAGACTAAATTGAAAACTAATTTATTTTCTTTAGCATATGGGTGTTCTTAATCTGTTTTTACCTACTTTAATTTTATATTTTATCTTGATGGATGCCTTTTGTTTGTGTAAATCAGACTGTTTTTAACCCGTTTTAAATTGCTGCGATGAACTGGCAACCTGTCCAAGAAGATGTCCCCCTCCTGTTTGCCCGAAGACAGCTGGAGATAGGCACCTGTGACCCTGTGTGGAAAAGTGGGTTAAGAAAGTGGATGAATATTTAATTTAAATTGGCAGTGGTTTTATCAATAAAATGTTGTGAATCCTATTGCTCAATCTATTTTATAAATTTTAAGTTGTATTGCTGTAGCTTTAGTTCAGCACTTTGATCAACTTTTGTTGATGTAAAATATGCTATATGAATACAATTTCTAAAGTCTCTTGTATTGGCTTCTGGTGACATTTTAGCATTCAAAGATTTTTATGAAGACAATTTTATTTAATCTATTTTCCTATCAAGTACCTACATGCTCATTCTGCCATAACAATGGAGCACAAAGGAGGTACAATTCAACGGGACAGTTTTAGGCATGTTGCCATGAACACTTCTGCTCTGCTGGATTTAACTCTTTACTGACATGAAGTGTTTCAAATCACTAAACCATGTAAAAGAAAAACCTTTTTGATATACTAAAGTAAATATTAACAATGAATAGATGAACCATATGAGGAATAAACAAATGCAAATTATCCATGTGTGTGTGTATGTGATAATTATAAAATGACTGATACTGTGTGTGTGTGTGTGTGTGTGTGTGTGTGTGTGTGTGTGTGTTTATTATGTTTGACAAGCACTTTGGGGAAACAGGCCAAACAGATTTGTTCAGGGCTCTTCCCATGAACTTGTATATGCTTACCTGGGTGATAATCATAAGAAGGGGTGAATTTAAATATTGCACTAATAACCTTACTATTCAATTTAATATAATTTAAATTACAATATCCAACTTATAAGTTAAACAATATTGGTTTAGCAACCGATGATGTTGTAAATATTTTTCTCAAATATTTTGGGTGTATTTATAGTTCTTCAATTAGATGGAAAGAAATAGAATGTCAGGGATCTTATGTAACAACACTTAGATAAAGAAACAGACTATAGGTGTTGTTAATGGCTTTAACGTTGACAGAACCCATGCAACTCCTCCTGGCCGTCTTTTTTGTTCATTCATTTCCAAAGAACGAACAAACATAATGAAATATGCCAAATATACATAACATTGGTGAATGCCATGCAGGGATAAAGAAAAACACCAACAACACATGACAGGGACATATAAATGAATGAAATAAAAATATAAGATCACATGTTCAGATTGTTTGTCAAAAATATAGTTTGTTTTAAACATTTTTTGAATATCAAGGTCTCTTATTATATAAGTGTATTGTTCAAATTCTCTGCTGAAGTGGTTTATGTTTGGTTTGGAGTCTGTCCATCCTGCTTTATGAATAACTTTCCCAAGAGAAGAAGCTGGATGAAATGCGAAACGTCCTTGTCCATGTCCTCAAAACAAAGTACAAATTCTTTCCTTGTTAGTTGCACAGCTTTTCCAGACTTCTGTTCGATAAAATGTTGTTCATTTGTCCAAAATGTTTTAGAGTAGCTGCATACATTGGTAAAATAAATGGCTGGTCTCTAATGATGTAAGGTACATGAATAATCAATAATTAAGTTAAATCTGCTGGGTAAACGTTATGTAAAATTTTGAAAGGAACTTCTTTAACCTCATTATTTAAACAGAATTTCCCTACATTTAGCCAAATCGGCCTCCAGATTAAATTTCCAAACAAAGAACAAAAAAATCTTCCAGAAAGCTATTTAGTTTTCCATTCAATTTTAGTTTTCCTAGTTTATTAGTACATTTCTTTTTGTTACATTTATCTCTCTAATCAGTATACTGTTGTGATGTGGGCCATAGCCTAGAGAATGAACATTGCCTCCTCACAACAGTTGTAAAAGACCACCTGGCAAAGCATCAAATATTGAGTAATTGATGGGAGTTTTTGCTAAACTTGAATACGAATTCATTGAGTCAAAAGATAACCATCAGCATTTAGAAGCTGTTTGACAAAAAATAATACCCTTTTCTGCCCAGTGTTTAAAGTAGATAGATTTCTCTTTATAAAGAATATGTCCATTATTCCAAATATATCCTGACCGTCATACTGCGACTGTGCAGTAGCGGCTGTTGATGGAGTCGCGCTCCGATGACGACACTGGGAGAGGCGGTGCAGCTTTGCCACGTCGGTCTTGTAGCGCATTACACTGTTGCTCCTCCAGCCCCAGACTAACTTTTAGAGACGTTTTATGTTTACAAACGAGGTAAAAGCGAGCCTCCTGCGTCGCCGGTGCCGCTGTAACACGTACCCACATCGGTGCAGTGTTGGATACTGAAGCTGGAAGGCGGAGAAATGTTCGCTGCTGTCTTGACTCGTCACACAAACTGACTGATGCATCCTCGTTCTGTTCAGTTGAGTCCCCCCGCATGTTGTCGATGTGGTGTGAGTAGACTTGGCTTTTTAACCATTTTAAGTCGTATTTGACACTCTTACTAGAAAGCTACAAGCGCAGATTATTTTGGTTTAAAGAGGCCTTTTAAAAGTTTTCGCAGAGGTGAAAATAGCAACGGTCCCTGCTGCTATTCCTACAGGCAGCTGTAGTACATACTACATGTTTTAGCAAGTTTACGGGCATAAAAATAACAACCTAATTAAACGTTTCCACCGTTGAAACACGGTTTATCTCAACATATGCAAGCTGCCCGTTTGTCTCCACGTAAAAAGAAACGTTCACACGTGTAAATAATGCTTATTGGAAGAGAAGGACGTGCTGCACCTCTACAGTAAGGCTAAAAGCCCCATAATGCAGTCATGACTACAGTTCCTGTTTTCACTTTTGACTTGCAGCTGAAATTGAGGCCCCTTGTGGTGTTTGCGTGGCGCACGCGTATGTGTTAACGTCTGTTTCCTGTTTGTACATGAAGCTCAGATGGTGTTTAATGTTGCAGCCACACACCGGGGTCTGAAAATGCTTTATTATCTCCTCCATCATGCTTCAGAATGCGCATCAGCTGAGGAAATGTTGGTTTACACAAATGATGGATGCTGTCAGTGAGTTTCTGGGTTATTTGACTGTTGGAACAGTGGGTATCTAAGTCCAGTGATGATTTCTACTTTTTCTTTTCACTGAATTGGGGTAAAGCCTTGTGTAAATGAAGTCTATTAAAGTCCACACATTACAAAATGGATCATTGACCTCCCAACCAACACTCAAGCCATTGGTGTCCCTCCCCATTTCTGAAATTAAAATTACTTCCTTGGTCAATACGCTATTCAGTGCTTTCGTTGGGTTCTTCCAGATGTTTTCACTGGTTAGATTTTATTGTAGAATGTGGCAGTGTGTAGTTTCCTGGCGCTAGGGGGCAGTACATACATTTCAGGGTAGTTTTACACCATATCTCCCTGACTGTCGCTAGTTTTAAAAGCATTACTGTAAATGTTGTTACCTGTGGAGCAGAAAGCATGCTACCCTGGTGTGACTCCTCAGACTTTGATGATCCTTCAGTTAATGCTATGCAGATTGTAGTTGTCTGGTGCTGTAGTTTCCAGATATGCTTCGGGTCCTGCGCCGGCTGATGACCTCATCATATTACAGCAATATCACTGGCTAAAACATCTATTGCATCTTTTTTTATTCTGTTCTTTCACATATGTTTAGGAAAAATTTTAGTAGTTTTGTTATTACATTTGTGTTTCTTAAATATTTTTGAACGTGGTAACGTAACTTCTGTAAGTTGGATGTCCAGCCAACCATCTAGTGTGACGACATTGGCAGGCGCAGGACCCCGAGCTTGGCGTCCCCAAAAGACGCTAGTCCCGCCCCCTATGTACTTCAGACCCAATTTTTATCGTTATATGTTACGAAGCTGCCAATATTTTCCTACGTTTGATGGATATTTACAGAGAAAATGATAAAAAACTACACATTGTCTTTTAAAGCCATTTCTAACTGATGGTTTAGTCTCCTAATCTTCAAGTGTTTTTATTTACTGAAACTTCTAGTACGCTGTCATGTACAAGAATAGCTTATATGTGTAGATTTATTTTTATTTTGCCAATTTTATTCAAAAATTTTATTTAATTTACTTATTCTTCACTTGAATTCTGTGAGGACCATGCATTAGAAATTTGAGCACACAAAGTAAATTAAAGTTAAAGCTGTTAGTGAATCTGAGAACAAGCAAGGTTTTGAATGCAAACATGGTCGTGGAACGCTCACTCCTCCCCATCGGGTATCTTCCCTGACGCTTCTGCCGGAACCGGACACCTGCATTGCCAGAGGAAACGAGATGGCACTAAACACCATTCGCTGTTTTCTAGGTCCAAACGTCTTTTGTCGTCCGTGACTTCAAATGGTGTTTTTCTATTTGGGACTCTGGTAGTTTGTCCTACCTAAGTTGAAGTGGTAGCAGCCGGCTGTTTCTCCTTCTCTGATATTATTGAGCGGAGAACCTCTCACACCAGTGGTGTTCTGTTGCTAAATACTTGAGTGTGTAATGAATGGAGGACCCAAGAAAGTGCTTCAGTTCAGTGAGACAGACAACCGGATGGTCCAATAGTTGCTTTCGGTCCGAAACATGTTATTGGTGGAGGTTTTTAGAAAATGTCAGAGATCCACATTAAAAAGAATTTTTGTTTGTTTTTTCAATCTCACAATATTATTATAGCTATATGTTAGCACGTTGTTAAGAGGCATGAAAAAATGTTTTTGACTCATTTGTTTTCTAAATGTGTTATAGCAGCTTTAACTATTATTAGTATCAGGAAAAAAATCACTTCTATGCAAAACATCAGAATCACAAAGGACTGCTAGGACAACAATAGCACATAGACAATTATATTTAGTTGCCTTATTTAGAGCCTATATTAAGCACCTACGTGCCAATTAGATTAGTTGAGATGCTAAAGCAGCTGGACTGCTGTTAGCAATTAAACAGAACAAAATGAGAGGATTGAAAGTGTGGATTAATTACAACAGATAACATCACGTTCAGTATTATTATAGCAATCATATTTGCAGGATAAGCAATAGGGCCCGACCGATATGCTTTTTTTGGGACCGATACCGATTTAAAACTTTTAACAAAGGCCGATAGCCGATATAATGGCTGATAAATCTCCCTCACAAAAAAGAAAAAAAATTCTTAAGCTTAAACCCTTCATTCTCTGCCTTTTTGATGCAAACATATTTCTCTATTACACACCAAAGAACTGTCTCAATAACTCACTAGGGTTTCCAAGTAATGCAAATAAGATTTATTTAGCAGATCTCAAAAACAACAGAACACCCAAACTCAGTCACAGCATAAAATCTAACATTCAAGTTTTTTCTTGTAAACTGTGCTTTCCACAAACACATTTAACTTAAAGGAATATTCCACTACTCAGTAAAATCGTGCCTTGTTAAGATTCCCCAGAGTTAGACAAGTCAGAAAAAGCATTTTATAACCAGCCCAATAAGATCTGGCAGCAGTTGGTCTTCTTAGTTTAGCATAAAACAATGTAAGTGAATTCACACACATTGTAGCGTGTTTTTTTTTTTATGCAAGTGAATGCAAGCCTTCCCTTCCATTGCTTTATGCTAAAACAACTGGTTACAAAATGTTTTTTCTGACATAGCTAACACTCGGGAATCTAACAACACACACAAGTTTAGGGACAGAAGATCCCAATAAGAATATTAAAATAATAAAAATGCAGCAATAAATAAAACGTAATACTTGTGCTTTGTAACAAAGTAACACTCTGTGGAAGTTAACTTGGTGAACTTATATTTATAAAACTTATATTATATAAAATATAAGGCTGAAAAAACACATTAGATTTATTCTATTGTAGAGGAATGTTTATGTTTATTTTCTCATCGTATTACCGCCCCTCCTCCTCTCCCAGGGAGAGGGACTCCCTCCTATCATAGAGCTTCATTGCCTTGTTGCCCCCCCCCCCCCCCCCCCCCTCCTCAGCAGCGACAGCGGTTGTGTGAGTTTTAGTGATGGGAATTCTGGCTCTTTTTAGAGAGCTGGTTCTTTTGGCTCAGCTCACCAAAAAGAGCCGGCTCTTTCGGCTCCCAAGGGGCTCCTCAGATTTTCTGTTGTGTGTGTTCTGTTGTGATTTTCTGTTTCATTTATAACCAAAATAATGCAAAACTATATGTAAAATTATTTACTAATGTAAAAATATGTAATATATCAAATATTTATCATTTCTATGGATTTAATAACTGAACACTTAAAGAAATCTCCACTTTCCGACTGCTGACGCTCATTTTCTCACCGTCTTCGTCGCACTCTCCTCTCTCTCGCTCGCCTTTTTCCTCCTCCTCATTCCCTCTCGTCTCCCTCCACCCGCATGTGCTCTGCTGTGTGTCTGAGTCTGATCCTCCCTCTTCCCCGCCCCTACTGCTCTGTGTGTGGACAGTCTGGACACGCATACCAATCACCTGTAGCTTTCACCAAAGCAAGAGGGGAGGGGGGAGGGAAGGGGACGGCTCCTGTCGTTCACTTGAAAGAGCCGGCTCTTAGAGTCGGTTCGTTCGCGACCGACACATCACTAGTGAGTTTGAAATAGGGCTGCTCGATTATGGCAAAAACAATAATCACGATTATTATGACTGAAATTGAGATCTCAAATATTTAGGACGATTTTTCAATTTATGTTGATTTTATTTGTTTTTATTCAGTCATAAAATTGCTCGGGGCACAATCAGGACAAAAATAAATAAGAAACAAGATGATCACTAAAATAACTCCTGATTCCCGGTATAAAAAGATCAATATACTTATAGCTCATAGTTTATGACCCAAGGGCTATAGACCTTGGTTTAACTCATTTAAGTCTAACCAGTACAGACCCAAATACCAATATCTTGCAAATACCGACAGCGAGAATTATACAGTGGCATTTATAACAAATAAATGCAAATAAATTGATGTTCACAAAATGTTGCGTAACATTTATTGAGTTGTGTCAATGTGCTGTAGGAGCGTGCACTAGCACCGTGTCCTCAGAGAGATTAGTTATTAGTTATCAGTGTGAGGAACTTATTTCTACCTTATTTATAAACTATGTATTTACAGGTCCATCAGTTAATGTAATAATTGTCCCAACCACAGCTGCCCCCCCCCCCCCCCCCCCCCCCCCCCCAACCTGGTCTCACTGCAGTCGGTGGCAAGCTGCATGTGTGTTTAGCGCTCCGCACACGCACATTTAGCCGTTTTTAGTGGCTCAGGAGTCCGCAGGTGCGGTGTGTGTGTCACTCACTCTGGTTACTCCAACAGGGAGCCGGCTCTGAGAGCTGTTTCTTTAGCGACTGACACTTCACTATATCATTCCCTTTCCTAATGTCCTGAAGAACGGTCCGGAGCGCAGGCGGAGTGTTTAGCTAACCTGCAGGAAATGTCGACGACAGTTATCCAGAAAGTAGCTAAGGGTTACCAGAAATG